CTCTTGTAGGATGTTTAGAAAAATCATAAGAATCAATTTTTTTTTCCCAGAAGTTTGAATTTGCAATAGAAAATGAATATTTCTCATAGCAACCATATTGTTATGTAAAATAAAATACTGCTGTCCCATGTCCAGTTTTTTAGAGTAAAAGTTTTATTAGCATTGTTGAAAGTGTGTAGTTCTAAGATGAAATGAAAATAACCGTTGTATAGGGAAAAAAATCTATCCAGTTGATTGCAGTTATCTGAAATAGGAAAAGAAGCAATGGGTATTGAAATATATATATAAAAATATATGTACACTTGAGTGACTACTTTCTAATTGCAGTATTACTTGTTATGTTTAATACTTTAATTACTGACACAATGGTGTAATTTCTTTCTTAAAACTGTCCTTTTACCGCAGAACTCAGAAATGACTCATATGATACAACAGCTTTTTTAAAGCTTCTAGAGAAGGTTACAGGCAACTTCTTCTGATGTTTGTACCACAATAAAGAATGAAATTAATATAGGCGTATATAAGCATGATATGAAATGCTCAATGAGCAGGTGGATGGATCTCACTTGATTTTACTTAGATTTCTAAAACATACTTGGCAAGGTGCCCCACAGAAGGTGAGAAAAATTAAGAAGATTAAGCAGCTCTGGGGTGAGAGCAAAGGTCCTTGTGTGGTTATAAGTTTGGAAACAATAGGAATAAATGGTACACATACACTGTGAACAATACTATTTAACAGTCTCTTAAGTGATCTGAAAAGTGGCTAAAAGTCAAGCAACAAAAATTACTGAGAGTGTGAAGTTATTCTAGATAGTTAAACACACAGCTCTGCTTTGAAGAACTGCAGATACTCTTCACAAGGCTGAATGGCCAGGCAGTAGAATGGCAGGTGAAATTCAGTGTAGATAAAGTGATATTCACAGTGAAACTCAATCCAACCTTCATGTATAAAATGATGGGCTCTGAGCTGACTGCTACCCGTCAGGACGGATGTTTTAGTTATAACACACAGCTCTGAAATGTCAGCTCAGTGCTTCACGCATGGTCAAAAAACTGTTCAAATATAAGAAATTATTACAAGGAAATAGAAACCATAATAATGTCAATATGCCATTGTAGAAAACTATGATTCAGTTGCACCTTCAAGGGACTGCAAATCTGGTATACCCTCTGTTTGCCCTCATGTCAAAAGGAACTATATAGGAGCCCTAGAGAGTGATTCAGAGGGCAATATGATAAAAAAGAGGCACCAGACAATGAACAACTGATTATACTAGGGACTCCTCAGCCTGAAAAAGAGTAGGATATGAAAAAGGTGTAAAAAAATCACAAGTAGCGTAGACAGAATATGTAGGGTTCAACTATTTTCTCACTTTCCTTGCAAGACCTTGAGAGCATCTGACGGGGTAGCGGTGGATTTGACTGAAGCTGATTCTTCCCAATGGGTGCTTAAACATACCTGCTGCACAATGTTTTACAAGGTAAAAAGTTGGCATAAGTTAAAAATGTGACTGGACAAATTTACAGATGAAATATATCAAAGCTATTAGATGCAAAGACACTTCCCCAGAAATCCCTGAGCCACAGATTGGGGTGTGAGTGCATTCTGGAAAAGTGTCACGGCTTGCTTTCCCCGTCCTTATACTCTTCCCTGGGTATCTGCTTTGGCCATTCTCAGTAAGAGGTTATCATACTGAATAGAATTTTGTTATGATTCACTCCTGCAGTTTTCATGTCTTTTTTGGTCTTTTCCTTAATGCTCAAACAATATTTATGCTCTTGTATGCACAATAACAAAGCAACTTTTCCTCCAGACCAAAGTCCTCCAGACTAATTGAAAGCCAGTCTTTCAATTAGCGGTACATTTAAGAATCACTCTGCCTTTATAACAGCCAGGTCACTGCTGAACATTGCACATTTTTTGCAAGTCCTGCACGTAACCCAACTCAGCAACTGCATACCGTGGTGCACAGGCGCCATCTAGTCAGCTTCCCAAAAAGCTGCTCATCTGGTTGTGTGCAAAGCATCGATGGACAGACCACTTCCCCTGAAACAAAGATACGAAGGATACTTCAGGTTTACACCTGCAGGCTATTATACATCTATATTTTTTTTCCTGTATAAAATGTCAGGGCTGTGTATTTGCAAATATTCACAATCACATCACAGTCATATTCCAGCTAACGTTTTAGAAAAAAAATTCTTAAGTTTATCTGTTTTACATTTTCTGAATATGTGTGAAAATATAGAATCACTCTTTTATTCAAAAACAGGCCACAGTTCAACTGTGTCCAGCAAGCATCCTCTTCATCGTCTTTCTTGCACTTCTGTTGTACTTGTAGGTCACATCGAGGCAGTTCTTCATTATCCCTAGGCTTCTGCTTATCCCTTTATTTAATACCACTTCTGTAAAGTCAGATCTTTGTTTACACGTCTTTCACCATACTTAAATCAAAAGGATGAGGGCTGACTGACATTTAGCACCGTCCTAGTCTCTCAGATGCGCTGTTAGAGGCTGAACACTAGCAGAAACACATTCAAAACTTTTATCTCTCAGCTGTCAAAGCTCTTTCTCAGCTCAAACTCTCTGAGTTTAAGACAACTTCTTCTGCAATCTGATTCTTTTCTCAGCATTTTGGGCATTTATGTAGCAGAGATTGTCCATGGAGACACAGGGGTACTGTTGGTGAGCATCCATAGACTGAAAGCAATTCAGTTAGCTCAGAGTTTCATATGATTTTTTGCTCACAGAAGATTTTTGAGTCTTCAGAAAATATATGTGGGGAACCTCAACACTATATATATGTGTGTGTTTGTGTGTGTGTGTGTGCATATATGTTTGTATAATTCTTAACTCATGTTAAAGAGTTGTGAGAGATAAACTCGAAACATGGAAGAGCCTCAGAGAACCTGTCCATCATGATGACATGAGATTAGTAACACATACTTTTTAGCACTGTGTGGTTATCTGGGATCTGCCCTGCAGTATCTTTTGATTTGGAACAGAAACAGATTGGTTGGCAAGTTCTTCACCCACATTTCATTCATGCCAACTTTTGGAAACTTTTGTGTATGCTGAGGGTGCTAAGATGTTAGTGAGAGACCACTCTACCAAAGTGCTAAATTGCACTACCTTGTCTCATAGATGTACTGATTTTGTCTGCCTCACTACCCATATAGCCCTGGTTGACAACCACCTTAGCTATTGAAATGTTGCTGTGCAAGTAAGTGATGCAGAAACAGAGACAAACAAAATAACCTCTTCCAAATAAATTCCATAATCAATCAGTTATCTGTTAGTTCTAGGAACTCTTTCAGACATTTTATGGAACATATCCCTAACAGGAGTTTCGGTTGTCAGATGAAAAGGGTAGTGCGTAGTTAGTAGTGCCTCACCGCAATGCACAGAGGAGCTGACATACTACACTCAGGAAAATCACACTGCTCTCAGGAAAATAAGTCTCTGGTACCTCTTGAAAATTGCACAGATATGTTTTCTCCTATGTGGAAGCAAAGGGTTACAGGTAATAGCTTACGTGGATGACTGTATATGGGTCAGTAATCCATATCCATATGAAAAGTGAATTTTGTCTGTCATCGTGGCAGCTCTCACTCAAGGGTTGAAAAGGAAAACGCTAAAGAGGGTACCCACACTACCTAGGGTTCATTAAAACCTATCACGAGTGGATATGCATTATTTTATATTGCAATTATTCTTTTCCTCCTTTTAAACATGATCTGGAAATTGGTATTCTCTATTTTCGGTCACAGAAATGTTGCAGGAAGAGTTTCAGCCCTTGTGCTACCCTTTCATTTTGTTTCTGAGGACCAGTTCTCACACTGAAGAATAGAAGACACTGGAAGCTTTAAATAACTCTCAAAATTATTTTGAAATAATTTAAGTTTTCACTAGAATTTAGATAAGCCATTGAACTATCGTGTTTTTACCACGCTTCTTTCCTGCACCCCAGGGTACAGCATGGAGCAATACTGTTGGTGTCATGTCTCACTCTGAAATTGCCACTATCAAGACTAGGCTGTGCCTGCTGGAGGCAGTGTGCGTCTGAGCCTGCAGTGAGCCTCTGAATGCACACCCCTGGGTCTGGGGTTAAACTCAATGCCACGATAGTGCCCGAGAAGAATTAGTGCAGTATAAATTACAGAATTCAAAATCTGAGTGAGTTGTATGAAAAACCATGTCATTGATGCAGAGGCTGAAGAGCTCCCAGCTCATGTGAGAGGGAGGTAAATTGGGTGGTAAAATCTTGGGTTTCTGCTGATTCAGGGGAGGTTTTCAGGCCACCATGCTGTCACTACTTGCGAAGGAGGAGGGTTCATTAATTATTGACATAGGGCACTCTTGTAGCTAGAGTTGCAGTTGAAACTACTTGCTAAGTAATTCTGGGTCATTGCCATCTGTGCTGGACACTAGCTAATTTGTGTATAATAGCTATAATATCTTTAATCACTTTAAAAGGATTGATTTGATTAATTAATGCAGTTATAGCTGAATTTTCTTCCATGAAAGAACAAGCCATATTGTATTGCTAATAATAAGAGAGTATGAAGAACTGTACAAAATTCTAGGTTATTTGCTCTCATTTTATGAATTTGATGCCTCATGCATAAGCTTCACTGAAAAGATTACGAGGTTTAAGCCATTGCTAGCTACATTGCAGGTGTGTATGTGCAAATATAAACTATTTCTAAAGAAACAAAAGCAGATGTTCTGCTGTTGTGATGCCCTTTACTGAGGTGGGTTTCCACAGTGTTTTCCGTATGACCTTCAGACTGTGGAGTGACTTCCTAGTCTTCTGTTTCCTCTAAATGAGTGTTTCCACACAGCAAATCATATGCTCCACTGGGCTGGCATCATCAACAGAAAATGAAAGATCCTTGGGCTGTAAGCTGCAGGAGCTTGAGGACATTCCTCTTTCTCTTTTCTCTTTCTGAGACTGAGATTCATACTCTTCAAAGTAAAGGAAGGACTCTGGCAGAAAATGAAGAAATTACGCACTGTGATGGATTTTTGTGTCCATCACCAGACTGTTCTGGGTTACAGTGTTGTGTCTCTGCTGACAGCTGCCAGCGAGCACATCTTCTCAGCTGCGGTGTTCAAATGTCCTTGCAATTCCTGGAACGCCTTGTATGGCTCTGTCTTCGTCGTGGTGCCTGCCTTCATCCTCTTTCTGCTTGGCTTCATGATGAACACCAGGACGTGGCGCCTGCTTACAGGCTGCTGTCCTCAGGATAACTACTGTAGCTGTAACCTCAAGGGAAACTGCACCCGCTGCGTCCTAGTGCTGGGGCCGGTGGCAGTGAGTGCCTTGGTGGCCCACCTCACCTGGATTGCAGTGGCTCTGCTCAGTGCCAGCTTCTACGAGTGCGCAGCAACTGGGAACAGCCTAGTGAGGAAACTCATGTGCAAAGATAAAGGAGAACAGTGCTCTAAGTTGCTGGTCCAAATACCCTGTGATGAGAAGTTATCTGAGAAGATACCAGGTGAACTCCTGAGTCTTCGGAGCCAATCCCAGGTAGTGCCTCACCGTTTTTTTGAGCACCCTATGGGCATTAACCTTTTCTGCTTAATGCATGATGGTGATTGTAAAGAATCCTTCCCTATCACGCTACACGATTAGCAAAAAATAATTAGCCAAAAGTCCTCAGCAGAAATGTAGTAAGTTGCTGTTTGCATGAGCTTCCTTTTTGTATGGCTGCATGGCAGTAGCTTGACACTTCCCTTTACAAACCCTCTTTCAAAGCTGGACAGAGAACTTACCTAGATACTGGGCCTTTCCACTGCAAATTTTCTGCTCAGTAAAATTCGACATGGTAGAAATTCTTCTCTTTTTTTGCATTCTAACTCCTCTAAATAGCTAAGACACATGTGAGTATTCATTAGCTGAGAGGACACTGCGGTCAGGAACTGAGAGGAAGCTGATGTCTCTGCAGCAGAGACTTGCCAAGCGAAACAAGGAAGGATTGCTTATTTGACTATGAATCTCAAAGCTTGAACCTACTATTAATTTCACACTTATATTTCCAAGAGAATAGTTAAAAATACCTTACTTTGTTAAAATTTTCTTCTCGTGCTGAAGACAAAGTATATGATTAAAAAATGTTACCTATGGGCTTTTTTCTTCTTTATGGAGCAAAATGAAACCTGAGAAAAATTTCCAGTGCTCCAGTTTTGTTTCTAGGTTTGTTTTTCTTCTTAACTGCAGTGGAGAATGCGGTTTTTCATCCCTTTTTCTCAGGAAAATATCTTTTTCTCAGGCTGACTAGGGGAGTTAGGTTTATAAAAGATTGTAATTACCTGGGTTTTTACAAGTCCCTATTTAGTACAAATACTTATGAGAAAAGTGTTTAATTTTTTTGAAATATTTATCATGCTGCTCCTCCAAGGAAAACCCGAAAGGAGGAAAACTCTGTCTCATTGAATCAAGAGAGGATGAAAAAGTGAAATCAAGGAAATCTGACTGTTACTGATATTTCAACGAAACCTAAGGAAGCAAACTAATCACAGAAAAACTGAAAAAAAGAGTCTTAGATCATTGTTATTACAATCTATTATTTTAAATATCTGATCTACTTCAAACAAAATTAAGAAACAGGTGGATGCAAACTCATTTTTCTTTAGCACTCACTGTTTTTTGCGTGGGAAGAAATATCAGCCTGAGGTGAATGGGGACACTGTTAGACCTTCTCTCCTCAGAGCTTTCTGCTTAGTTCAGCTGACCGCTGTCACTAAGACACCCAGTTTAGGTTGGGCCTCTGAGATTTATCATCAAATGCGGGGGGATGTTAAGTCTTATACAAAACAGGAATTCCTATATTCCACAGTCAAATCCATGTCCTTCCTATGAAACATACAGGACACACCTTTTCCTGTGTGACATGGTAACTGCTTATTTCTTCCCGGCTCAGACATCTGAGGAAGCAGTTACTTTGCAAGAGCAGATAAATCACAACAAGCAGGAAGCCTTACTTGCAATACCTAATGCGAGCAAAATTGTTCTGTGTTGTATGTACAGTAAATATTACCAGAATTGCAGATACTGCTGTTCGGTGCCAAGCTTTTAAAGTTGAGGAACCTGGATATAACTGAGGAAAAAAATTTACTTCACCTAGCAGGGTTCATCCTCAACCCAAAAACAGCAGCTCAGGGGCACTGAAGCTCTATAAGACTGACTCAGGTTGTTCGTATGGGATCTCCTCCTTGCACAGGGAGCAGATTTATAGGCTTCCCAAGGGGTGTTTGCTTGCAGTTTTCCTCTCTGATTCAATATTTGTACATGTAAAAACACCATTAACCCATCTATCTGTTTTCCAAGCTGATAGGATGGATTCTGATAGCCTTCATCGTGACTCTGGCACTGATTTCAACATGTCTCAGCCGCTGTTACTCCCCAGTTAGCTTTCTTCAGTTGAAGTTCTGGAAAATTTACTTGAGAAAGGAACAGGAGTTTTTTGAGACCAAGGCCAAAGAGCATGCAACTAAGCTGGCAGAAAGAGATGTGAATTGCTTTTTTGAAGCCATTGACCCAACACCGTTTCAGACTCCCAGCAATGCAGACTGAAAGAAGATTTTGTCCTTGTATACCTTCAATGCTGAAGAGCAGTATTACAGCATGATACACAAGTATGCTAACACAAACAGAGGTGGCAGTGTCAGATTCAGTCTAGGAGATCAGAACCCCCCGGCTTGGGATTTGTGGATGAAGCAAATGTGAGTGAATGATGGATGATTCTAACAAAACAAATCCCTTGTAACATTGGCAATCTTGTAACCTTAGTAGTATAAACAGGGTCTTATTCTGTGCTCTTATTGAAATTAATACAAATTGCGTGTAAAAGCTGATAATTATAAAGCTCAGTAGATTTGTTTTTAAATACATTTTATTACTTCTTTGCTTAAATGCCTTTAAATAAATATATGGTTCACAATGGGAGTTTTCATATAATGTTGTTCATTAAGAAAGAGACGTGTACATAAAATAATAAACATTCACAGCAAAGACGCCAGCATATACTATTCAAATTATTACCAAACACCTTAGAGGCATTTGGCAGCTGGTGTGACAAACCCATAGTTTCATATCTGGTGATATCAATGAGATAAAACGGAAAGGAGATTTTGATCAGAATTCAGCTTAGTTTATTAGCAATGACTTAACATATATCTTGACTTGAAAACATATTTTTCAGTGGAGCTTAGAGCAAGTTCTAGACTAAAATATTTACTTTTTACCAATTAGTTTTTCAAGGAAAGGACTGCATCTTTTCAAATCTGGAAAACAATTCACATTTTGGAGCTGCCTGTACACTAAAAAAAAAAAAAAAAAAGGCCATTCATTGGAAATAGTGAGAATTACTTTGGCAGCTTATCAACTGGAATAGATAAGCAAAAAGATTCCAGCCATTTTACTCCTTTATATTCAGCAGATTATAATAATAACAGTGAAACTAAAAACTTATTTTGTGGTAAATTCTCCTTTTGCAACAGGTCTTCTGATCTAGCTCTACTACTCATTTCCTGTAACCCTAAAGCTCTTCAAAGGAAAAAGGTAGGCGTTTGAATGCTACATTCAGGGAAAAGTAAACCAACATTAAAGTTCCAGTGTCTAATCTATATTATTTTCTATTTTACCTAACAAAATCTTTTTAATACCTAATCCATATTACACGTAGTATTCCGGCCCTGGAATCAATCTCTAAGTTACACTTGGATTTCTCTGCCAAATAAAGTATTTAACTTGCTCCGAAATGGAGCTGCAGCCCAGGTTAACATGTCTTGAGGGGTTAGGCTCACGAAAAAAGATGGCAGTGTAGCAAGGCTTCTGTTAACAAGTATTTCCAGCACAAGTACACATTTAAGGACATTAAATATCAGCAAGTCATATTAATAAATAATAGAAACTGAAGAAGGAGTGGACATCTCCTGCCACAGAACATCTAATTTTAATAACCAAAGATATTAATTTGAGTGAAGAATGAAAAATTTCACTTCCTTTTTGAAAAGCTTTTTTAGAGAGCATTTTAGAGAGAGATGAGTCATAGCTTGTTTTGTCAGGGTTGTCCTTCCATTCTTCTTTCTTTTCCCATAAAATCTTTTCCTTTAAAACAGCAAACTCTACCTTGAAAACTCTTCAGACAGATAGAGGGAATACCATTAAGGTATTTGTTACAGTCATTTTTCAAGGAGGAAGCAAGAGAAGACCCTATTTTAACGAGCTGGATATAACTAACTTGGAGGCTTTATTCTTACTATAAACTGAAACTATAGCATATACAGAAAAAAACATGTTTAATATTCTTTGTAGAAAAGAATAAAAAAAAAAACCCAAAAAACAAAAGCGTTCATTTCATCATGGGGTCACTGCCTTGCTCGATGTTCTTTTTCTTCCCAGAAGCTAGAGGTTAATAGAGTAACAAGCACGCAATTTGTTATTTCTGTCTCCAGGAAGCACTGTTCAATTGGAAATGTTCCATTTTACCTCTCGTATTGAAGAGTTCATTTGCTCGTTGACCTGTAGAAAAAATTAAATCTGCTACAGAATGTTGTACGTTGGACAAAAACAATGTCCTGGCCCCACTGGAATCAATAGCAAAACGTTCCTCGACTCAGTGGGGCCAGACCTTACCTTAGAAGTACAACAAGATCGCTCTGGAGACACTGAAAGCACCACTGAACAAACTATGCCTTATTTCATTCCCTTGTAAGAAGCTACAGTTCAAGCACCTTCAGAATTCACATTACTCAGCTCTGCCTGGGAGGGCTTTTGCCACCTCCTACTCGGAGCTGCAACCACCAGGATGCCATTACTGAAGCTGCCTTGGCTTTCCAGGGAAGACACAGGCCTGGCACTTCAGAAGGTGCCACAGTGCATAATTCAGAACTTACTGGCAATGATAGCAGTCTATTTTTCACAGATAAAATGACTTCTCGTGAAAGGAGAAAAATCATTAGTAATGGGTAATTAATAATTTGACTAGAAAAGACTTGTGCTGCTCTGGAGTCCATAATTAAAACACCTACACAACAGGGCTCCAGCCCTGTCCTCAGCTGCCAACAGGTGGAGGAAGGGCTATGGAAATACTTACTAAGAAAACCACATGCTATTTGGTCATAATAAAAGAAAAGATCTCATGAATGTAATCACAGTCTAGTATCTCATTAGTGGTGTTTATACAATCTCAGTATATTGGGTTTGGTTTTGAATTTAAAAAGTAAAGAAAAAAGTATTTTGCTAGAGGTTTCTGTTCTGCTCTCTTTGTGAAACTGAACAATATAATAACAGTAAACACACAAAAAAAAACACATGGTCTTTTTGCACTCTTCCATAAGAGAACAATTTTAATTGTCCCTCCTCCCCTCCAGAGACCAGATCTTCAGGTGACCTAAAGGTCTCTGACATGTGATACCAGCTGATGACTTTTAGATATCAAAATATTTTTTCATATTCATAATTACCTTTCCCTGTTCTTTTTCTTTTGGATTTACCTTTCATTCCACCCACCTACACATTCAAATGCTCTTGGTCGCTTCAGATAATACATATAGCACACTATAAATCTATTTCTAGCAAACCATATGTCAGTGTCCATATGAAAATAAATAAAAGAATCAAATTGCATTAAATTTTTTAATCAGATTGTGAACAAAATGGCCCAATGGGAAAATAATTCCATAATAATTCCAGCTGTTTTGCTGTAAAGTAAGTCATTCAAAACGTTATCAAATTATCTGATATCTCCTAAGGCAGTAACAATGAGAAGAAATATTGGTAACACATACATAAAGAAAATATCTTATGTCTATAACCCATTTGACTTTTCCCCCTCATTTTAGCCCTTGCAGACTGTGAAGAACATGAGTGAGGATACATTATTTTACATCTAAAGTGGGGAATAAAAAAACAGTTTTATATCAGGCTTTCTCTCCACTCTTCTTTATTTCTGAGTGGTTGTGAATGCATAAGAAAATGCCTACTGAATAGGATTGCCTAGGTGTTGGGCTGTTTGTTCACTGGGGAGCAAGGCAGCTGCTCCAAACGTCTTCACTCAGGGAGCAATGTTTTGTGAATGACTGTTCATTTCAGTTGGTTCTCTCTGATCAGTGATATGAATAATTTTTGTTAAGGAAGCTCTCTGCTGGATCACAGTGTTAAGGAGCATGGGGATATAGCCTTGTCGAGGAGATATCACTTTCTTTTCTTCTGGGAAGTTCATCAGTCCAAGCACAGGCTCTTCCAAAAGCTTGTGACTAGTTAGAGTGTGACATCACTGGCAGGTTATTTTTCCCGTTCTGTTTTTAAATAACCTTGCAGAAATGAAATCTTCTTCTCATGTGGGCAGATGCACCTTCCTGTCCCATGTTTGGTGCTATGAGCTTCCTCTGGCTGTGCACTGTATGAAAGTAGAGAAAAGGTCTTCATAGGTTGCAACGCAAACCCCAGGAATCTCTTCATGGAAGGAAAAGCTGCCATTTTTTGTATGGCTTTGGCTTCTTAGATAGCTTCTCCTCCCTAATGATGTGGCCCTTTGTGAATCTGCTCCAAGTCATGTTACATGAATGTGCTATAACTTATTAAAAAAAAATCACCAGAGCTAATACATCATCTTTGAGACTGATAAGATCATATTACCTTAAGAAGACTTTTGAGTGAGTTATATGAATATACATGCCTATCTGCATATGAGGATAAGAACAGCTATGTTTATTATTTTTGTAGGCAGTCATGTTTGATTTTTCTGCGCCATTATGTAACTCTCATACGTTCTCTATGGGATTGCATTTATAATGGAAGAAATTTTGAATAGAACCTTCAGCACCCTTCAAACTGCTCTGCTGCTTCTTTTGGTCCCTTACTCTATTAGCCACCTTTAAAAACAGGTCTGAAGGGTCTACGCTGAAGAGAAGAAGGAATGTGAAATAGACTTCTAGGAATATGCCACCGAGTAAACCAAGCAGAAAACTAGATATGTATAGGTTAGCTAATATAATTAATTAATCTAGTTTGTATCATTATTTTTTCTAACATTTATTGTCATTTCTCTGATAAAGTCTAGTCTAACTTCTTCTTCTCTTGGTAGACATCCATAGCATGACCTGAAGTCCAGACACAGCTCCATAGGATACATTGGCTCACAGAAACAAACTGAGTAGCTTTCCACAGGACACTCCTCTCCTGCAATTTCACTTTTTTTTTTTTTTTTAATATTTACTTACTGAGAGTAAGTGCTCAGCCTGTTGTTGGGTTTTGCATAAATCATGTTCTGTTCATGTTTTGCCCTGCCCCAGGAAGTAGCCACAGAAAATATATAATTTGATCCTATTTCCCTCTCTGGAAGGGACAGGAGGGCATCACACCGTTGATTGTGTTGCTGTACTTAGTAGTGACCTTTGGTCCTTCTCCATATGTGTGAAAGAAGTCTAAAAGCTGTTGCTAGAGTAGCCATGAGCTTGTGCATGGCTGACATCAGTGGAAAAATTAACATCTCTGCGGTCAGATACAGGAAGACAATGGTGAACTTATTTACTACTACATATAATGATCACACTGCTACATAATGATTATTAATTATTACAGCAGGTGTGCACAAAAAAGGGCTACATACAATTATTCTGTATTGTAAATATGCATATATTACTTGTGAAATATGTTCTCGAGTGTGTGAGAGTCTCTGCCTTTTAAAATTCCACCGTAGATAAATGAAGAAGAGAGACTTTGAAGTGACTTTCTACACAGAGATGAATGCTGTCCTTTCTCAAATGTGGACTTTAATGGGTGGGTAACATCGTTCTGGTGACATGTTACATATCATTTGTGTACTACTTTCACATACAATGGACAAGCTGATCCTGTGTCAGATGAAAATAAAAAAAAAAAAAAATAGTAAAAATAAACAAGAACAGAAGCGCATCGAGCACGTCTGTCCAGCACAAAGGAAGGCAGTGCTGAGCCATGGAGCTCTGGTGTGGCAAGATTAGATGCACAAATGCGACATGAGTACAAAGCAGCACTCAGTATCATCCAGTAACCTTATGCTGCTTCTTGGCTTAATCTCAGATCTATGCTGGCCTGAGTGGTCCAGTGGAAGCATATCCTTCAAAATTTGCCATATCTAAGTAGAAGTAAAGATTTTACCATGCTGTTTAATCTGAAAATCTGGAACCGAAAGAAACAGCTTTGATATTCTACACTGAGCATAGCTGCCAATGTTTTACATTGAAATATAGGAAGGAGAAGCCTCGGCCACGTCAAAGCCGGTGGCAAGACTGCAAAGGCTCCAGAATGTGGCTAACGGTCCTCTCTTTAAAAATTTAGCAATATGCACCCCTGCCTTGGGTATGTAATGTTTGCAGGTAGAACCTGTTTAATAGGCTGTGAACACACGGGAGTCAACCTACATGTAGCACGGCACTGTGGTGATGCTAATGCTTTTTAGCTGGTGGAGACCTCTGTAGAAAACGTTACAGCAGGTGTGCACGGGCACACACATGTATGCATGTGCATGTCTAACACAACAGAGGTTTGAGAGAATAGTATCGTACAAAACAAGAAATGGTATTAGGTTATTCGCTCTCAAGGTAATAATAGGAGAGTATTCAGTCGTTATATACTGGAAAAAATAAAAGTGGTCATTACCTTGTAAAGGACCTTTTCACGGCCAGATAAAAGTGCCACTTACCCATCTCTAAGCTTGGACATAATCACAAAAAAACCCCATTGAGGGCTCCTGCACAGGCACATGAAAGCAGGCCAGCTCCCTAAGGTGTTTAAGCCGTGATAATAAGAAATATTTAGGAAAACTTGCTCCATGTTGTAACAGGTTGTTACATGCTGTAACTTGTCATTTTAACTTGTAACAGCAAGTTGGGCTGAGACCAAAAAGGACGAGGTAATGAATAACTTAGTTATTGTTCTGCAAAAAATTGTTCTCTTAAATCTCCATTACACTATGACACCACTGTATTTCACTATTAAGACAAACAAAGAAAGAAAGACCATAGTGAGGATTATAAAGTTCCGGTGGAAATGGACCTTGCTGCCCCAAGGTAAAAGCTGCTCCTGGCTTAGCAGGATTAAGAATGAAACAGGCTGAGGAAAAAGCAGGAGAGGAACTTACAAACCACAGTAATAAAATCAAAGTTAAATTTGGGTTTGAACTGAATCAAGAATTTGTATTTTAATTTGAAAAGAGCATTTTGGCTCTCTGAGAATGAAAAAGTTGAGCTGGTTTTCTGGAAGGTTACTGTGCTAGGACTTGGGACCTGGATTTTCATCCCACCCCTACCAAGATTTCTTGTGTTACACTGTGGAAAATATTAAATCTTTTTCTTTAACTCAGGTCTCTATGACGCTGGTATTTCTCTACATCTCAGTCAGGTTGTGAGAACAAAAGTCCACTATCGAGTGTGAGATACTGAACTGCTGATTACAGAGGTCAGGTAGAAACACACAATTACCCACAGATTGGTGGTATAGCAATCTCCGAATTTTTATTTCAATTTTCTTAGGTGAAGTACAGATCTGCAGTAACTACACATTAATTACGCCAGGCATTGGTCAGTTTGGTCATGACATCAATGCTCTTGAAGATAACATGGAGGTGAGAATTGCAAAAAAGCTTAGGTTTGAAGCAACACAAATATTGCTGTGGCCATCAGAGCACCAGGGCCTGCCGTGTGTATAATGCTGAACAAGGCATTTCAGCCAAACTGCATTTGGGCCAGAAAGGCCCATAACAAACCATTTCCTGCCATCAGTTAAATTTCATCTCCGGTATCAAAGGGAAGAGGATGTTCAGTGTAAAGGGCAATGAATAATAAATCATGACATCTCAAAATAGATCCTTCACAGTACGAAACCGCATGCAGTAGTCATAGGGAGTGAATTTACTATTCCTAATCACAAACAGCCAGGGAAAAATGCATCTCTTAACAACAAAGCTTTGAAACTTTACCAGTAGACAAAATGGGAAGACAGTCACATTCAGCTGAAAAAGGTACGTGTGATATTTTGGATCCAACATGCAGAGAGAAACTGAGATAAAACTTTCATTGAGCTCAAAAGCATGGTTATGTGAGAGGAAAGTAAAAGGATGAAGCCGTTTTGATCTTTTATAGTGATATCTGTATCATGATAATGAAGATTTTTCCCCCCACCTTGTGCTGGCTTTCTGACTCTCTTCACCTTTCAAATTTATGAATGATTACAGCCAATTAATTCCTGCCCTGTATATCTTCTTCAGAAACAAAAGGAGCAAAATACCCCTTGGTAAGTGTTCCTCCCGATGTTTCTTTCATTTATTTCTTTTCTGCTTTTTGTCTTCAGCCTTCTTTAAAAATACAATTCCTATTTCAGTCACAGCATCACCCTTCAGCTTGTCTTGGAGGAAGGTAACTTCTGCTGCTAAGTGAATCTAGAAAGAATCAAGACAGATCAGGTAAGTAAATACATTTCTTCCCTTCCTATAGTATAACTAGTTTTTTTCTCTCTCTTACCACAGGGGGACCCTCTTTCTCAGGATTCACAAGAAACAGATTTCTATTGTTTATCATGCTTTTTCAAATCAAAATAATAAAAAGGAAGTTTATGTACATGACAGAAATTGCACAATATACTTCAATGTAGTGCTTTGCTTTGTTCTGAGAACTGAAAACATGTAGTTGATGATTCTGTGATCACAGCATTTCCTATGGTCATATATTGATGCTTATTATTTGTTAATGTCTTACACAAGCTACTATAATTTTTCAGTTGATTTACATAAATAATACTTACATAGCTTTAATTTATTCTGAAACATAGCAAATATAACTAATTAGATTTTCACTGGCAAAAACATAATGAAATAACAAATGTTATCTTTCAGAAAATGGCACAGACTCTGTAACACAGTCACTTTCAAATGATGAACGTCATGTACCCTTTTGTAAAAGCCTTCCATTTAAGAATAAAATATAGAATACCTTCTGATACACTTCTGACGCTTTGATTTTAAAATTATACTCATTCACATTTTATTCTTCTTTAATTTTCTTTTTCATGAGATCTTGCAATTATGTTGCTGTAACTTGAGAATATTGTTTATCTTCATATATTTGGAAAGAAACAGGGATGGCTATTTTGGGTACAACTATGCTGCTAAATGAATTAGGGTCAGAGAGCAGCAGGGAAGCCCAGCATAGGACCTCTGGCTTTGCACGTCCCTGTTTTGACCCATTCCACCAAGCACTTGAACATGAATCAGCAGCTGAAGGACCCAAGCTGAAACAGGGCAGATGTGAGCCAGCTTGTGCTTCTTTACTTTACTTTAGGATCCTTGATCAGTTTGTCCCTCTTTTATTTAGATGTAGACATTTAATCTGAGAGAGAGATTAAACACTACTAAGTTTCCTTCTTTTATCTCAGCAAGGGGTTTTGCATTCCTGTTTCTCTGTATATTAACAAAGAGAGGAGAAAACAGACGTGTATTTCCTTACCATCTCCAAGGCGCCTCGAATCACTCCGCAGAGGAGGTTACAATAGCAAAGTGATGCTCGACCTGCAGGGAGCTCCTCCACAAAGTCCACTAATGGGTTCTTGTCCAGGATTAAGGAGAACTCATTTCCCGCGGCACTGCTGCAGCTCACGCTAGGGGTGACACCAAGGTACATCTTGAAAGCAACCTGCAAAAGGATGATACTCTTCCACTTGAACCTGTTGTGTTCTTTCATTAAAGTTACACTCCCCCAGGACTATTAGCATCCATATCAGGTCCGTAACTATATGGCAGAAGACTTTGATAAGTCACAGATCAAGAACTCATGTAACTGGTGAATGTGTGCTTCTACTCTGATCTGCAACTACAGTTAAAAAATAAGAATAAGATTGCTGAGATGGCAAATTTATTTGCCCATAGGGTATGGTCTGTGTTTCTTACACTACTGATTAATTTTTGCTGTAAATGCATAGCATCTGCTTTGCTAGTGAAAGGGTCCCACGTGAGTTTATTTATGCAGACGGTGACATCATTACTCTAGCTAGACAGCACGAAACCAGACAGGCTAGGAGGAGACTAGCTGAAGCGCTCTCCCTTAACCCACAACTACCGACTGCTACAACACAGACAAAAGTGTCTTGGTTTTTATTTCTTTAGTGAGTATCAGACATGGATGGTTTCCAGACAATTCTGAAATTCTTTATGAACCGGAAAACTGCTATTGGTTACAGTTTTATGGCTCTACTAACAGTGGGAGGTGAACGTGTATTTTCTCTTGTTGCTTTCAGATGTCCCTGCAGCAATGAAAACTTCAGGTATGGTTTGGTATTTCTCTTCGCCCCAGCTTTTGTTTTGCTAGTTATTGGATACTTCTTGAATAGCAAGACGTGGAAACTCTTTACAGGCTGCTGGGTGAATCCCAGAAAAATATTCCCAAAGGGGAACATCTGCCATTTCTTTTATGTCTTTGGACGTATCACTTTAAATGCTCTGGTAGCCCCAGTAATGTGGCTCTCTGTGGCTTTGCTCAACGGGACTTTCTACGAATGTGCCATGAGTGGTTTGAAAAATCCTGCCTACTTACATGCAGTTTGTCACAGCAAATCTGACAAGTGCTTTGAAGAGCTACACAAGGTAGCCTGTGGCAAAAGTACCATGTCCTTTCCAGAGAGTGAGGAACTCAAATTAACTCTTCAAGCACAGTCCCAGGTAAGAAAAATAACTTAAGATCATTATATGGTTTGAACTACTGCTTTGACTGATCTGTGAAAAATCCCAATGGCAGATGCTAAAGTAGCTCCCTAGCCCTAGGGAGTCCCACGGAAGTCAGGATCACTAAGGCTACCAAAACCTAAAGCTTCTTCCTTAATGAATGGAGAGAAATCTAAAGAGAAAAACAGTATCGGATTATCTGAGGAAGCTGAACCAAGACACGGCACCCTATTAAAGCGATCTGTTCTATTTTTAAAAAGTCCATACCAAACTCTCCTATTTTATACTATCTTGAATGGTGGAATGAAGTCTTGGGTCACTGACAGTGGGAAAATGCTAGAAAATAAGCTTTGTGATACACTGCTTGTATAACTTGTTTATATTTGCATTCCTCTAATCCCATATTATGAACTTGCTCATTTCACTACTTTGTGAAATGTTTTCCTCCTGCCTGGAAAAAAGAAGAACCACTAAAATAAAATAAGCAGAGGATGCAAAGCTGAGACCATATTACATTTTCCTATATTGTTTTGTTATGGTTTTATTCATTGCCTTGTAATATAAGAAAATTCAGAGACAGAACCATCAAAACAAATGAAAAAAGGAAAAGAAATACTGCAGAAATGATGAAAAGATTTTGTCAGACAATTGTGTCCATCAGGTACTGTTTCCAGCCTAGGAGACAGTTTTGTTTTCAAGTCCTCGTGCAAATAGCACAATGCTGCAACGGCTGGAATGCAGGCAGATTTAATTAGGTGTTTTCAAAAGCAAATAATAAATAGTTCTTAAGACTTTAAATTGTATGTAAAGGAAACAGTGAAAGACAAATGACTCAGCTGATAGCATGAGAATATATAGATCCATTCTCAAAGCTGAAAGAAAGTCAAATGGTGCTGAAAAGGACAGTATCTCACATATCCATAAATATGATCAGCTAGCACAAAAATGACTGGAAAATAAAGAATGTGAAGCTGTTCTTCCATATCAGTCCCTAAGCATAATTGTTCATCAAGCCTCTCTATTTCACAGATCTCCCTGACGAAACTTTCTGTATTTCTCTCAGATAAAAATAGATTTTAATTGCTTTGTTGCTGTTGCTGTTGCTGTTGCTGTTTTTAAATCAGAGGAGTTCACATGAGGCAGGTTCCAGTTCTCCATATCATCACCATTAAAATAGTGCATTGGAAATCAATTAGAATTCATATAGGATGCTAAAAAAATGTGTTCCACACTGAGATTTCTTACACTGTTTGAAAAAAAAAATTAAAAAAATCTCTCTCTGAAGATGTGGTACATTGCACTGGAGTAGATGGATGAACCTATTGGCTAGGCCAGTGCCACTAAGCATGAAAAAACTGTGTTCGCTTCTCTGCTCTCCTTACAGGAAAACATCCCGCAGTGGGAATTTCAGTCGAATTTTTCCACAGCCTGAGCCATGGCTCTAAACATGGAAGCAGCTTTTTGCCTTTAAAATGTTCCTAACAAAAGTTTTGTCCAACTCTCAAGTTGCTACAAAATAATTGAGGGATGCAGAAAAAAATGTATCTCAGGAAAAGAAATCACTGCCTGAAACCACTGCAACTGTTCTTAATCACTGTGCAAATGAACTAGGCTCTACTGGAATGCCAACAGAAACTTTTCAATATACACATTATTTCTTCTTTCTTTTACCCTCTCCTCCCACCATACTAACAGGCCTGGAAAAAGAGGATGATTTGGGTTTTGACATAAAATTTATTTTCTACCTCAAAAGGCTGATTCATCAAAGTAAAAAAATTTAATGGGGATAGTTTAGAATTCAGTGAATTTCCTGGGAAAAGAGTGAGGGGAAGCTTTTTTAGTTTAAAACTATCATTTATATTCTTGTTAGCTAATTAATACTAAAATAGCTTCATTTTTTTAATCAAAAAGAACTCAGAAAACAGCACATCTCAAACTGGTCAAAATTTAAAATATAGATTGACCTAGGCCAAAAGTTACTTACCTTTTTGTAGTTTTCTGATCTGTCATGATTCTGATTTTTGTGTTTTAATCTTGGTTGGTTGGTTGGTTAATATTATTTAATGATTTCAAGAAATCAAAAATATTTTCCTTTCAGTAGTTGGGACAGCTTATTCTCCCATCTACACACTTTTCCCTTTCTGGAAGGGGAGGAATTGAGGAATTCAGATGCGCTACATATCAGCTCGTTATATTTTTGCAATAAATTGTCATCAATTATCCTCTCTAAATTATTGAGACATACTCCTGCTCTCAAGTCCACTTTGTTTTCTGTATAACACTGCTCAATCATTTTATTTTTTGATGGATCATTTAGACTTTTCTTAGGTTTTTCATGTGAGAAATTATACATAGTCTTGTAGTTGAGGTCTAATTTGAGATGATCTGTTCAGCTCCTGCATCTGCTATTGACTTCGTACCGGTCGAATCTCTTCAACTTTCGTCATCCAAGTTCCCTTTGTTATAAAACAGGGCATTTAAAACTGCGGCTGTCTGTCCCTTTGTGTGCAGACAGCCTCTAATATAAGCCAACTTTTCCTGAGAGTTTTACTTTCCACTGTAAAAAAAGAATTGGGTTTCCCTTTCCTTGGAAAAAGGTATCAAAATGAGCAATATTGAGAAGTCTTGATACGGACTTTTTCCATTCCCTCTTCGGTCCAGATGTGCAAGCCCCATTAATATTTATGCATTAATACTAAATGAAAACAGGAAGAGGCACCTGCAGTAGGGCCCAGAGAAGAGCGGCAGGCCCTCCGTACAAAGACTGGTCACTCTGTCAGACAGTCTTGATTTAAGTGGAGTTTTCACTTGGGACTGTTTCTTTTGTTTTCCCAGATTTTAGGCTGGTGTGTGATAGTTACCACTGCTCTTCTGTCCCTGCTAACTACGTGCTGTGCCAGCTGCCAGTCGAAAGTCAGCCACCTCCAGCTAAAGTTCTGGAGAACGTACGTGGAGAAGGAGAAGGAGCAGCTGGAGCAGATTTTCCAGCTGTATGCCACCAAGCTGAGTGAACGAAACCTGAAGAGCTTTTTTGAGAACACGGAACCAGAAGCTGTTCCCCTGCCAGCTTTTCAGGCATGGGAAGATGCTTCTCAGCTCTACTCTTTCAACAGTGGTGAACAACATTATAGCACAATTCATAGGCTAGTTGAGAAAGGCCAGAAAGAAATCGGTGAGGAAAGAGAGACAGTGCTGGACTTTGTAGACAGAAGGGAAATACCATAAATTGCATCGATTTTCAGCCTTTTTATAATAACTTGCTAGTATAGCCTATTGCTATATGTTTTAGTCTCTCTGGTTCACAACGGCCTTTCTTCTTGTTCACTTTCCATTCCAATTACATGCTTGCTCCAAAAAGATGGAATGAAATTATTTCTCTGCATCAGTGAGAATGGTTTAGTCCTCAATGTCACCAAAATCTCATGCTTTGCAAGCACTGGCTCTGGATCAAGAACTGATCCAAAAAGGACAGCATTGACAGAAAAAAAGGACTGAACAACGACTTCTGAAAAATAGATTTAACTACTTCATATGTAAAACATATAGCATGCCCATCCTATATAAATCAAGAGACTATCATAAAGTAATACCATTTAAAAATTCATATATATAATAATAGAAGAGATATGTGGCTTGTTGACAGTCCACAGGAGGTAAAGGTTTTGCTTTCAGGTCTTTTCTCAAGGCACACCTCTGATCTGAGGCACCGCGATCCCTCAAAGTAACTGTGTGCTTTCAGTTTCCTGATGCACCGATAATGCTGTGGATAGTCACATCAGTCAGCCCTGACCTTCTAGTCTCTGAGACATTCACAAGGGACGTGGGACAGTCACATCTATTGACAGTGAGGTTCTTGAAGTGGGCAAATCTGACAGTCTTATAGGTTATAAAGAACTTGAGAGTCCCAAATAGTTTCACAGTTCGGTGTTTTTGTAAGAAAAAAAAGTTATTTTAAAACATAATCAGAGTAGTTGTTAATGCTTTATTGCAATAATGAAAATGTATCATTGATATTTTGCCTCCCCAGACTAGTTGGTATTAGCTTCTACCACTCAGTATCTGGGAAACTTCCCTTTGCATTGGAATAAAGATCTGATTTTTGGTGGATTTTGGACACCGGGTGCAGCCTGTAGAACTGCAGAATACTGTTTGTACTGGGCCTGCAGCCAACCTAAGACAGAGAGGCTGGAAGGAAATTCCACATTTTAAGACAACAAAGAAAATATTTTTGCAGCAGGCTGATTTTATTTTTCGTAATATCTTTGGAAAGTTAGAATGTGCCTGGGCAAGGGGAATTAGCAGGCAAGGCAGGTGAGATGACTGCAGAATCAGAATTTCTGATAAATGCGTTTTATCCTTGAGCTCTGCGTTTTACCTCATGTGCTTGGAATTCACAACGTGGCTTTCATACGGGGTGTCCAGAATATTTGCAAACATTGTATTAATGGGGAAAACGGGGAAGAAAGTTTCTGCCAAGCTTCTTTCCCAGGGGTGATCGGCAGGTTTTTATGCTGCATTTTACCTCCCGTCTCCTTGAGCCTGAAAAGAATCACATTTCTACATAGCTCAGATCAGATTCTTGTCAACAAACTAATGCAATCCACCCCACTGTTCTGTTTTCAGGGCTCATACTCATTGTGCTCAGTAGAAGGAAAAATTTGTCTGCATTTACAGTCCATTACTCCTTTTTAATAAAATACAAGAACTAATTCCATTACGTGCTTAGAATTTTCACTCTGTATTTTGAAGAACAAGTGGTCTTTAGGCAAAGTTATAGTAGTATATTTTACATCAGCTGCCCCATTTTGCAGCACACTTAGAATGCGTTATCATTTTATGCCCAAATTTACGTGCTGCAGATGAAAGCACAGAGGCAACGTTGTCAAAATGAAAGTCACAACAGCAGGCATGTCTGACATCAATAAGTCAGACCTGCAGGTGATCAGATAATAAGATGATTTCACTTTGCTAAGTATTCATGATAGCAAACGGCCAGAGCGTTTGGAAGCCCTGCTTACACAATGGATTATGTAATCCATTGGAAGGATGCTCTGCAAAAAAGTCATTTATATCATGGGTCTTCTCAAGAAGACCCTCCTGCTCAAGCAGGGTCCTCTAGAGCACATTGCGCAGGATGATGTGCAGATAGCTTTGGAATATCTCCAACGATGGAGACTACACAACCTCTCTGGGCAACCTGTGCCAGTGCTCAGTCACCCTCACAGGAAAGTTTTTCATCAGGTTCACACAGAGCTTCCTATGTTTCATCTTGTCACTGGGCACCACGGAGAAGAGTCTGGCCCCATCCTCTGACATCCACCCTTCGGACACTTATACACATTGGTAAGATCCCCTCTCAGTCTTCTCTTCTCCAGGCTGAACAGGCTCAGCCCTCTCAGATTTTCTTCATAGGAGAGATGCTCCAGTCCCCTCATCATCTTCATAGCCCTTCACCGCACTCGCTCCAGGAGCTCCACGTTTCTCTTGTATTGGGAAGCCTAGAACCGGAGTCCTGATTCCAGGTGTGACCTCACTAGGGCTGAGCAGAGGGGAGGGATCACCTCCCTCGACCTGCTGGCAATGTCCTTCCTAATGCAGCCCTGGATTCCATTGGCCCTCTTGGCCACAAGGGCACATCACTGGCGCATGCTTAACTTGTTGTCCACCACAGCTCCCAGGTCCTTCTCCAAAGAGCTGCTTTCCAGCAGGTCAGCCCCAGCCTATACTGGTGCCTGAGGTTATTCCTCCACAGGTGCAGGACCTTGCACTTGCCTGTGTTGAACTTCAGGAGGTTCCTCTCCGCCCACCTCTCCAGCCTGTCCAGGTCCCTCTGAATGACAGCACAGCCTTCTGGTGTGTTAGCCTCTCCCCCCAGTTTAGGATCATCAGCAAACTTGCTGAGGGTGCACTCTGTCCCTTCCTCCAGGTCATGGATGAATATATTGAACAAGACTGGACCCAGTGCTGACCCCTGGGGGACATCGCTAGCTACAGGCCTCCAAGTAGACTCTGTGCCACTCGCCACAACCCTCTGACCTCTGCCATTCAGCCAGTCCTCAATCCACCTCACTGTCCACTCATCCAGCCCACACTTCCTGAGCTTGCCTATGAGGCATTGCCTATGTGATAGGAAATAGTGTCAAAAGCCTTGCTGAAGTCCAGGTAGACAACATCCACTGCTCTCCCCTCATCTACCCAACGAGTCAATCCATCATAGAAAGCTATCAGGTTGGTTAAGCATGATTTACCTTTGGTGAATCCATGCTGACTACTCCTGATCACCTTCTTGTCCTCCACATGCTTAGTGAGGACCTCCCGGAGGAGCTGTTCCATCAGCTCTCCAGGGATGGAGGTGAGACTGACAGGCCTGTAGTTCCCCGGCTCCTCCTTCTTACCCTTTTTGAAGACTGGGGTGACATTGGCTTTCTTGCAGTCCTCAGACACCTCTCCTGATCTCCAAGTGCTTTCAAAGACGACAGAGAGTGGCCTAGCAACGACATCTGCCAGCTCCCTCAGCACTCGTGGATGCATCCCATCAGGGCCCATGGACTTGTGGGTGTCATGTTTGCCTAGATGATCCCTAACCTGATCTTCCTCGAACAAGAGAAGGTCTTCTTTTCTCCAGACTTTTTCCCTGGTCTTCAGGGTCCAAGACATTTGTACGTTTCTCCTGACATTCATACAGTCAGTCTTTTACCTGCCAGAATGTCTACTAAAAGAATAAATTGCAACACCTGAGTCAATCCCTATTACAGGGGAAAGTGCCTATCAGTAGCTTACCATATGGATCTGCTATCTGCAGGGCTGGGGAGGTGGTAATGCTACTGCCATAGTGCCTCACTTGCTTACTAGTGTGTCTCTGCAGCTCTCTGACATCCAAGCAGGCAATGGGAGTTCTCTCGTGTGGTTTGTGGTGCAGATCTTGTACTGTGAATGACAAGCAAAAATAGCCATTTTGTGAAGGAAGAAGCTCTGGGTTCTGTCAAGCTCCAAGGGCTGTACCTATACTTTATATTTTGGGACAACTGGCCAAAACACAGAAACAGGCTCCAAGCTGGCCCCGGCAGCCTCAGCCATTCAGATGAGACCTGTTAAGAATCGACAGAAGATGAAGATCTTTATCATGTGCAGTTTAAAAGAAAAGAACAAACCAGGTTCAATTCTTCCAAAGCAGGATCAGATACAGGTTTCTACCTCAAGGCTGCTGCAAGAAAAGCCATAGCCACTGCTCTGCAGCCCAAACGCTCCTCTCTCCTACTACAACAACTATTTAAGCTCCAGGATAAATATCCCTTCCTCACTTGTCTGCTTTTCTCTTTCTTCCTGATAGATGCCCCAACACTTACTGCCCAGTCCCATCTCAGCTCCTTCCTAGGGAAGAGGAAACAGCACCTAACAGGATCTTCCTCTTCCCACTGCCAGGGTTGCTCTCCACCTCCCAGAGCTGCTTGTTCCCCTTCCTGCCACACTGATAGCACAAATAAGTGAAGGATTAGCAGCAGACACAAAAGGAAGGACATCCAGCACACTAACGGCATGATCAAGGAAGGCGGGAAGCAAGTGGGTTGATTTAGGGATGAGGACAAGGAAGATCTGCATGTCTGAGTCTTGTCTCCACCGTGCTGCAACAGTTGGGACACAGAGGTGAAAGCATTTGTGAGGGGGGAGGGCAGAGGAATTGGACCTCGGGCTTTTGGCAGCCTCTTCTACCGCAGGAGAAAGCTCCATGTGCCACACCTGAGCAGTCAGAAACATGTGAAACAGCAGTGTTTGTCAGCCCGGCATTCTCCATTATCATGTAAGGGCAATATCTCATCTCCCCCCTTACCCTGAGTCATTCTTAGAGGCCAGCAGGAGCTGCTGGGCGCATCGACAGGTCCTCCAGACAGAGCAGCACTGCGCCCACGAGCCCCGTGACATGACGCAGAGGCCATGTTTCTGCCCAGCAGGCTGCAGGTGTGACCCTGCCCAGCAGGTGTTTCTTCTGCACCCCTTCTCTCCCTGGTCTACCTTGAAGGGCAGCTGCTAAATATTACATGCAGCAATGTCTGCCTGGCAGGAATCTAAGTCCATCATGGGCCCTCCTTTGCAGGGCCTTGTTATTCTAGCTGGGTTTTCTTTCCAAAATGCTTGTGATTTAATACAATTGACAGGCAGCTCCAGGAAAACTTCTGTAAAAACAGACAAAAGTAAACCCTAGTTTGACCCTACATTTTCAACTAGAATCAGATTTTGGCAAGTTTGACTCTGTCCTTCCTTCAAGCAGCTATCACTAAAGCTGGTTTTTATCAGTGTTGCCCCTAAACTGAAGTTTCCCTGCTACTGCGGAAGCTCAGAAAGACATGGGGTTTATTGTTGACACTATTGAAACAAAGTGACAGGAAAAAAGATCAGCAGAATCAAAGTTTTCTCTTGGAAAATTTAGATTTTGCATTAACTCTGATATCCACTAAAGATATAAAAGCATAAATAAATCGGAAACTCTTGCTGAATTCTACTATATGTTCTGTCCCTCATGTTATTCTTTTCTTCTCCTCAATTAGAACCCAGTTTTCTCGTTTAAACACTCTTCTACCGTACAAGCACTGCTCTGTCAAACTCCAAGTCTTTTTTACAAGAGCAATAACTAGTTAAACATGCTAACTGCCCCTCATATGCTTTCAATTGAGTTTCAGCTGTGCTTTCCATTACAACTCTTTCCAAATTCTATTGTTCAAATTTCCGGTGTAAAAGCAAACTTGCATGGAAACTATGCAAAACCAGTGGCTTGTTTGCAGTGCCTTGGAGGACTAAATTAAGACAAAATTGCAAAGCAATAAAGTGAAAATTGAAAAAGAAAAGCCTCAGAGGAATAAGTAACTTAAGCAATTACAGAAGTAAGTTATTTAATGAGTAGAGATCAGAAACTAACTATTTTTAACCCAAAACTCTGTAAAACTGCCACACACAACTTCTCTGAGGGTAAAACAAAGGTCTTTTGGTCTTTCTTTGTGACTGCAAAAGAGAGAGAAGTAAAATGAACGAACAGGCTTGAAAAGTGCATCCATAAATCTCTCTGTCTCATTTCTATCCATATGGAAATGGAAATGGAAAAAAAAAAGAATGTCTATTTAGGCACTTTTACAGGCTTACCTTCAAAATGACACCCATATGAAGCAAAAAAGCGTTACTATCTTTCTTTCAGAAATTATAACTGCAGTTCTATGGGATTAGGTCTTGCTTAATGTCAAACAAGAAATCCATGCACAGTTAGGAATTAAAAATGTACCACTTGCCCTTTGTCAAGCCTCACCCAGCAGACCATCTTTCTTAAGAAGTAAGACTAAAACTCATTAACTTTTCGATGGTGCTCACATACAGTCTAGAATGATTGAGATAGTCAGGAAGCCACTAACTAATCAGTCCCTGTACATACTGCCATGGACTTTTCCTTACAACTCCAAACATTGTACGCATAAGTAATGTGGCAAATTAAGTCATAATACATGTTACTAAAAAAAAATGAAGTAATAGTTTAGATGACATAACAAGAAGATTAATCAAGTACTAAAATTAATGTGCCCAGAGGGGAAAAGCAGACAGCCAAAACAAAAATAATGTTTTTGCTAGCATTTGGGAAGAGTAAGATGCTTCAAGCGCTTTCCTGTGCATTGCTGATTCTATGGACTTATAAGCTTTACTCCTCACAGTGCAGCAATTCATTTTTCAATTTACTGTCTAGTGCTCAGCATAGGAACCTGCCATATGCATTTCCTTCTCCCTGCTGAGGTGTGAAAATCAGTATTTACCAGCTTTTAAATTCTGTCAGCTTTTGTCGGATTTTCAAACCGGCCATATGCCAATATAGGGACCTAGTGTGGAAGGATTGCCACTGAGAGGGGGAGTCACATCTCTTCTCCTACAACTCTGGGGACAAGGTGGCTGGACCAGCCCAGCTGGGGTAGTACTCTTTACAAACAGCTCCAGAGAGTGCTGTGTGCCTGAGCTCCAATCTTGGCATGTACAACCTTGCTGCACTCAAGGAGCACTGCACTCCCCCAGGAAAGCCCGTCTCTCCAGCTACTGCTTTTGCGCAAGGCATTTTTCCTGAGGCTCAGCACTGTATTAATACAGCAATGGGGCATGTGAGCCAGCACTAGCTCACAGGGGACCAGGGGGGTCTAGCTGGCCTGCTCCCACCTGAGGCACACAGAAATATCTCCTGCGGCATGGTGGCATTCTGCTACAGTAGATGAGATAGCTCTAGAGTTTGATAAAAAACTAGAAGATGATAAGTTTTTTGTTGAGATCCACCATGCAGAAGTTTTGCAAGCAGTGGCTGAAGTATAAACGTGATTTTTTAGGGTTTTTTTAGGATGTTTTAGCAAAGTTATCACCCTCATTACAAAAGTAATCCTTATTTATCCTCAGACTAAATTCTGAATCCAGTCTTGGATGTAACTTCTGCAGCTGAGCTTTGTTCTCAGTATCATCCCTCAGGAGCTTTCCATTTTCTTGTCCTAACTTGCCAGTGAGTAGAAAACCTAGTTTTAATGGGGCTTGTTTTGTCTGTTTTTATTACATTCCAGTTGCAACCTTGCAAAGTCCCAGTACCAACAACATGAGGAGTCGGTGAGCACCACAGGGACTCACTCGCTTCGGCTAATCATCAGACTACATTGGCCATTCTCCAGTATAAATTAGCTGTAAATCCCAGGCTCTGCAGTCTGATTCACTGGCTGAAATGTTTAATCTTCAGTCATAGAAAGCGACTGCTTTAGGTTCACCATTCTCCTCATACTTATTTTATTAAAATGACAGGCCAGTTTTCTATTCCTCATTTTATGTTTTTTCCTTTACTTTATATTTTCCCCTTTAAATGCAAATGTTCTGCAGTGAGCACCCACAGCCTGACCTTACAAAAGTCTTCTTTGCTTTCTAAAGGACTGCAGGACAACAGCTACATTTATAGGATGCTTAACTTTAACTACTTTAACTGCTTAACTGCTTTAATTACTTTAACCTTTTTACTGGTTTTACTCCACACATTCACCCTTTAACAGATTCGTACCTAAGAAGAGTTAATATTTAAACATTTTCTGCTTGCTGATAACCCTACTAGTGAGCAGTTAAACAGTTCATCCAAAAAGTTGTGTAATTTTGATCCAACAACTTGAACAGCATATTTGCAGTTACTTGCTGGGTCATTTTATGTATTCTTTTTTTGGTATTTGTCTCTAAAAAATATGTTTGAAGACTACTTCAAAATTGTTTTGTCAAAGATATTTATAAATGCTTTGCGTGTCATATTTTGCCCCAAAAAGGTTACACTCCTACTACAGAATTCCTGAGTTTGCTAAAAATACTCTTTTCAAGAGACTGCATGCTTTAAAGCTTGTTCCAGTCTTTCCAACTAATATTACTTCTCTTAACAAGTGTCTTTTGGAGTATAAACTTTAGCAAAAGGGAAACAGTGCGTTTTTCCTTGCTTCCATGGATAATTTCTCACTGAATTCTGTTGCCGAATCTACAGTACTGAAGAATGACCTGAACTGTACTACAGAATTGGTAAATAAAGAAACTGTGAGGATGCAGTTCAAGACCCAGCAAACTAGATAAAGGACTTGCATATGAAAATCCAGAGAAAACAAAGAACATATACCGCCTGGAAAAGATGAATAAAAAATGAATAAAAATATGATTTTGGTGCCTAGTTTCATTTTTTAAATGACACAACTATTTTAATACAGCAATTGAAATGCTGCTTTTCTTATGTTCTCCATTCAGCTGCCCTCAGAATCGCAAATGGATCCTCTACCCTGTCTCAGCCTCCTTAGGAGCCTTGTTACATATCAACCTGATTCTGAGGTACATTACTCAGATTCAGAAGCTGATTTGAGATGCTTTATTTCAGGAATAATTTAGTTTTCACTCTTTCATGAAGTAACAGGTTCTGATTGGCATTTAGTAATGTCACCTTCTCTGCTTTGAAACTTTGGCAGATCACGGTATACATGCATGTTTTGCACTTGTGCATGTGCAGTGATTTACTTTACAGCCTTATTAGCAATAGCAGATAGCTTTATTTCTACGACAGCCATCAGTTCCTCTATGACAAGTATTTTTCTGTTCTTCCATTTCAGTCAGATGCAATTTAGGTATTTCTGATATGGTTATTGCCAGCAGGATCACATATCACCTGGTAACATCTCTGCGCACTTTGGACTGGGATAATCCTGTGCTACTGGTATACCCCACTATCTTAGTTCACTGTATAGAAAACCCGGTGTTTCTCAGTTCAGTAGTCAATGTTTAAACATAATGTTCACATTTAGCTGCTGCTACTGGTAATTCTAAGCAATCAAAAAGCATGCCAGGCATGCTTTGGCCCCCAAAATAAGCAAATGGAAATGAATCTCAGTTCAATTAATTAAGAACTGATGCCCAGATCTCCACTTACAGCAAATGACCACTTAGTAAGCAGTTCTTTCTCCTAAAATATGGTTAATTTTTATCATCAGGAAAGGCCGAGCATAGCTGACAACACTTACCAGCTGAAGATCCTTAAGGACAAAAGGGATCATTCCCAGTGGTCTGACTGGATATTAGAAAGTCTAAGCTAACTGAATAGCTCTGATATGCCACCACATTTATAGTGGAGCAGCAGTCTAAAGGAGCTGGACACCCTGTGGACTTCTTTAGCAACTTCCCTGGGAGATCTGGTTTGGCCTAGGGGCAAAAATATATTTTTAAAAGCCTCCATATTGCCACTGAGCTTCCTCTCAGATCTTTATTGTCTGATAGTAGTGCAAAAGACTGCTCAGTGCAAGGGAATTTTACATCAAAGATGGGAGGGAAGTACCCACATTGATTTTATCATTTTAATTTGTGGGTAGTAAAGATAATTTTGCTCTCTCTTTTCTTACAGTTCCTCTCTTCTTCCATGAAGTCTTGCTTCCACATAAAATCCTGCAGCTTCTTCCTATCATTACCATTTTTAATTTTTTTTTTTAATTCTGCAGAGAGTTCAGAGGGCAGGAATAAGAATGTCAAAATTTAAGACTGCAATAGACCGTTAAGGCTTACGTTCCTAGAAGAGAAAAATCAAGGGAGCATATGCTCTGAAGTTTGTTAAAAGTGGATCATTTTTATTGTTTCCCAAATCACAGAATCACAGAATGGTTGAGGTTGGAAAGGATCTCTGGAGATCATCTAGTCCAACCTCCCTGCTCAAGCAGGGTCACCTAGAGCATATTTCCCAGGATCACATCCAGACGGGTTTTGAATACCTCCAGCGAAGGAGACTCCACTACCTCTCTGGGCACCCTCTGCCAGTGCTCTGTCACCCTCACAGTAAACATTTTCTCCTCAGGTTCAGATGGAACTGCCTGTGGTTCAGTTTGTGCCCGTTGCCTCTTGTCCTGTCACTGGGCACCACAGAGAAGAGTCTGGCCCCACCCTCTCGACACCCTCCCTTCAGATACTTGTAGACATTGATGAGATCCCCCCTCAGTCTTCTCTTCTCCAGGCTCAAGAGGCCCAGCTCTGTCAGCCTTTCTTCAGAGGAGAGATGCTGCAGTCCCCTCTAATCATCTTGGTAGCCCTCCGCTGGACTCTCTCTAGTAGTGCCATGTCTCTCTTGGACTGGGGAGCCCACAACTGGACACAGGACTCCAGATGTGGCCTCCCCAGGGCTGAGTAGAGGGGCAGGATCACCTCCCCGGACCTGCTGGCAACACTCCGCCTAATGCACCCCAGGATACCCTTGGCCTTGGGCACATTACTGGCTCAAATCCTCTAGCTGGAGTAAAAGAAAACAACTTAATCTGCAGCAAGCAAAAAGAAACTTTCTTACTCTTCTAATGGTAGAACACCTAACAGGCTACTAGGAAAGACTGTGGATTCTCCTCCATAGAAGAATCTTAAGATCAGGCTAGCAACTGACATGAAGATCAGGTTAGGTCAGAGTCTGGCAGCCCCTCATAGGCTATACTCCACTTTGAGTTTTCTGTCCTCAACTCTTTTGTAAAACTAATACATATGTGAACAAAGCCTGTGATTCTGGTGACCCTTTGTGGTAAACTCACCATTGTGGGCTTAATAAGACCATCTGCAAAATTCTTGACTCGGTAAACACCATATTTTTTGTGCTTTGTTGAATATTTTCCTTTCCAATCTGGTATTTACCCATTATGCAGAATACTGGCAGAAGGAGGCAGAAACTGACATCTCCTCTCTGTAGTCATACCTCTGTGTGCTGCTAGGCAATGTAAAGCTATAGATGAGAAAAAAGGCCATATTTAACACAGTGGAAGCACGTGTCTGATTGTGGAAAACAGTCATTTTTGATAGACAATTACAATATAGCAGAAGATGTAGGTAACACAATTCTGGAGCCAACTGATAAAAGAAAGAGGGAGAAGCTGAGACCACTGAAGGTGACCAATCTCTAGAGAATACAAATCTCACTTACCTGTGCAATCACGTCTGCAGTTTCAGAATAACTGCGGCATTTTTTCACAGCTGAGCGAGCTAAAAAATCTTCAATCAGCCTTATGCCAATGCCATACCCCCTAAGGGGAAAACAAAGAAAGTTAACATTCAGAATGGAGTATTTCTTCCCACCTGCTCTCTCCCTAATCTGTCTCTTGTGCTTTCTCACAAAACAGCTGCATGTTCCTGAGTGAATGGTTTTGAGGACATTAGATCTTGCTGGACCTGATTCTTGTTTCTACCACATTTTTCAGCATAGGAGGCCTGCTCTTCACTTAGTCATATAAGAAACTGTATTCCTTCAAAATCTTCCTACTTGGCAAGCATGATATGAGTGTTGATTATATATACTTTATACATACATATATCTATATAGAGATATATAAATATTAGCTATTTTGTTTATTATATGTGTATTTAATACATAAATAATGTATAAATGAATTCATTCTGATTCATACTGTCTTATTACTAAAAAACTTAGCATAGGATTTTCTCCAATCCTATGGTATTCCCAGAGTTCATCTTATGCTGTCTCTAATCAGCCAAAAAAAAACCAAAACAACTGCCCCTTCAAGTCACAGCATTCATCTCTGGGGTTGGTATGGAGTTTATCTAATCCTCAGCATCCTCACTGCAGAGTTCTAGTGTCAGGCAAACCTGTAGGAAATGGACTCACAGCTGATCCCTTTCACTTTATCCTCTTATCCTCTTATCTCTTCACCTTTTTTTTTTTTTTGCTCTTCCTCCACATTTCCTTTTTTGTCTTCTTTCTCTCTAACTTGGCCTCTCCCTTCACCTGCTAATTGCAGAAAGAATCCAAAGGTTGCTAGTTAATATACAGTTTGCATTTTTCTTTTAAAACACTACAATTTCTGAGAAATGAAAGGGGAATATAAAAGATGAAAGTTAATGAGATTTTTCATACAACAAATACTCATTTCTAGCTCTCATACTTTAACATAGGTCAGTAAATACCTAGTGTATACAATAGAAATGCTTATTTATATTATGGCAAGCATTTTTTGAAAAGGGAAGAGTTTATGAGATTGACACAAATGTAATGAAAAAATCTGAACCAATTCAGAATACTTTTATGGAATTTTTTATTTCCATTTAAGTGGATATTCTTAACCTCTGACTGATTGTCAGAGGTCTTACATGCTCCGTAAAGCAGGCTATAGTCAGTGGAAGTTTCTCACTGATTTTGTTTCACATCTGTTGACAAGAAGCCAAAAAGTGATCTGATGTCTAAAGTGATGACAAGATAAAAAGTGTTTCTGGCAGAGTAAGGTTCAAAATAACAGTATGTAATGCACCAGAAAACTATGAAATATTTATTTATTGCCTAAATATCAATACCAATAATGTTAGTAAATTTGTCATGAGCAGTTAGCAAGGTATGCATTATAGATGTACAAGACAGTATTTAGATCCTTTTAAAATTTTATGCCTCAGATCTGCAAAGCCAAATGAATAATAGACTGACAAGCAGCTATCTGGCAACCGTACAGTGAAAAAACACCCCTTCTGACTACAGATTATATACATACATATAAATATTAAGAGAGCTTGGAGTACTGTTCCCATCTGCCTCAGGACTGATCTACAGAGTCAATTCCCTAAGCTCAGCTGTTTTCATCTTCACAGAAGTCAGGCTGAAGTCATAGTACATTAATAAAACTTATTATTACTTCATCACATCTTCCTCTTTATCAAGAGAGAAAAAAAAATAAAAAATTTAAACTATTACAGAAACAGCTGTAATAATAACAATACAAGGCATAAAATATGTCTCCACACCTCCCCAAACTGCTTTTTCCTAATTTCTGCCATAGCATTAGAAATAAACACTTTTTTTTCCTGATATGTATCATTTTTATCAGAGCTAAATGAGGGATTAATATTAAATAACTGCCAGAGGGATGGTGATAATTTTCATTTTGTGAATAAATCACTTTTTTTTCCAAATTAAGGATTTTTTTCTCACTTCTATCAATAGGTATTGAACTATAGCTTGTTTGCAAGCTTTCAGTCTGACAGTGAAGTATCTACTCTGTTCAGTGTGATTGTTGCACATCACTTGGTATGTCTGTTTTTCCTGAAAGTATGAGTTCTTCTAATAAGGATCTCAATGTATCCTCTTGACAACCAGTTCAAAATTGGCTACTGTCTGATTTTTTACGTTATTATTTTTATAGTGGTAATGCCTAGGAATCTCAGTCAGAATCACAGCATCACAGAATGGTTGAGGTTGGAAGGGACCTCTGGAGATCATCTAGTCCAACCTCCCTGCTCAAGCAGGGTCACCTAGAGCACATTGCACAGGATGATGTCCAGGTGGGTTTTGCATATCTCCAGCAAAGGAGACTCCACTACCTCTCTGGGCAACCTCCGCCAGTGCTCTGTCACCCTCACAGGAAAGAAATTTTTCCTCAGGTTCAGATGGAACTGCCTGTGGTTCAGTTTGTGCCCATTGCCTCTTGTCCTGTCACTGGGCACCACGGAGAAGAGTCTGGCCCCACCCTCTCGACACCCTCCCTTCAGATACTTGTAGACATTGATGAGATCCCCCCTCAGTCTTCTCTTCTCCAGGCTCAAGAGGCCCAGCTCTGTCAGCCTTTCTTCAGAGGAGAGATGCTGCAGTCCCCTCCTCATCTTGGTAGCCCTCCGCTGGACTCTTTCTAGTAGTGTCATGTGAGGCCTCCTCCAGGCTGAGTAGAGGGGCAGGATCACCTTCCTCGACCTGTTGGCAACACTCTGCCTAATTCACCCCAGGATCCCATTGGTCTTCTTGGCCACAAGGGCACATTGCTGGCTCATGCTTAACTTGTTGTCCACCAGGACTCCCAGGTCCTTCTCTGCAGAGCAATCACGTGATCCTATACACCTAGGATCGTCCATTTCCAAAGAGATTATTTGTATAAAAATCAATTCTTAACTGATCATTCCTGCCATTTCACTCACTTCTGTATGCTATTTTTAAAGCCGAGATGCCAGGCTGCCCCTAATCCAGGGGGAAAGAAAGACAGCCACTGCAATCGGACAGTTCAGAGTACCCAAGTTAGACACCTGAATTGCGCTCTTAGGGAAGGCTATTGACTATAAAAAAAGGTGGCCCTTTGACTTAGTCATTTAAACCAAACCCCTAAAATCTGGTATTGTGACCACCAGTTACCAGTCCAAGTCACAAAAACACTGTGCAGCTAGATGAGGGAAGCACTGGGAAGGAAGGCCACAAAGAGAGTGGACACATAAATGCATGTTAGCTAGCAAACACCTGTGAGAAAAAAAGAGTTTGAATAGTTTTAAATACTATGGAGGTGAAGAAATAGAACAGGAGAGTTAATATGGAAATTCAAAAAGGATACATGGAGGAAGGAGATGGAATTTAGAAATTTATATTATTAATTAGCTTAAGAAAGGATTAACAAGGAACAAGTGTCAGCTATTAGAACAATCCCCACACTCTTCTTAAAAGAACTGAAAAGTTAATTGTTGATTTTCTTTATGCATAAATAAATGTTACTCCTGTTGACAGAATATTGAATCTTATTCTCATACTTCGTACAGCCTTAAACAAAGTTCTGGAACTCAAAAAATAACAGATATAAAGCTGAAAGGGGACATGCAGTTAGATAAACAGCATTATGGGTGAAGCTGAATATTTTAATGCTGAGTAAATGGAGTACTTACATTTTATCTAAACAGCTGTTGACATCTTCATCTTTTTCATAGTCCTTACACAGCTGGGCTACCAAAGCCCCATATGTGAGCACAAAAAGTTCTCTGCTCTGCCAGATAAAGGTGGAAATTGAGAATGAAACAGATGAGGCTCAAACTCTTACCACACTTTTAAGCTGCTTCTGTATTAAAAACAAATAAAAATACTCTTTACATTAAAAGCAAATTTTTATCCATGAACAGGTAATCACTGAAATCTGCAGTTCAAGTCTGACAGAACCTAATTTCATCATCACTTGAGTCTCTGTGTGGAGACTTTGCTTGTATGAAACACCATTTGCTGGGACAACTACTTTCATCAGATAAATTCTTGAGTCCTATAACAGCACATATGAATGCTGGATTGATCAATGTCATTAAATGCCATTGAAGATCAATGACAAGCATTCAGTTGTGGGAAGAATGATTGAGGGAATGAGCTATTGGTCTTTTTACAAGCTGAACAACAATTTATGAAGAGAAATTCCAGTTGCTTCAAAAAGGTACATTTGATTTGATTTAAATCATCAGTTGCTTCCCCCAAAAATACAAAGCAGATACAAAAAATAATAGTTCATAACAGTAAAAAAATTACTATCACTCAGCACAAGCGTGAAGAAGAAGAAAACAAGCAAAGCAGAAAAGGATCAACCCCATTAACATTTCTGTTTCTTTACAAATCTTTACAAGTAACTTGTGTTACTATCTATACTAGCTCTCCAAGTGCCTAGACAGTCTCATCGTGACATTATTTCCACCACACCTATGTAAGCAAAAGTAGGTCCTACTGCTAATGTAATCTGCTTTTACAATGTCATTTCCTGTCAATCAGCAGAAGGTAAATGCTTATGCATCCTGACAAGAGTTGATTACCTAGATTTGGAAATACCAGTTTCTTTTAGAGGATTTATTTACATTAGGAAATGTGGTCACAATTAACTAACAAACATCATTAACTAACATTACTTAACATAACCTCAACCCATCCTTAGTGTAGATTCATTTTTTCTCCTTCCCTTTAGCAAACAAGTCCATCTTCTCCAGTGTAGGCTCAGGCATCTTTTGCTGACTCAGACTTATGGCCATCACCTGCTTGTGGAGTATCTCTGCAGGCAGGTGCAGTTAGCAGGCGTGTGCTGACTGATCATTTAGCCTACGTGATTGAACAGACAGCGTCATCAACATTATCTGAGTTTCTTTCCAATACGTTGTCGGACCTTGCTAGCAGCTGAAGTTAACTAGAGAGCATTTATATCAGCTGCTCCATCACCGGATTGCCAATGGTGGAGCTACCAGGAGACAGTGACAGCTATCTAGGGAGATCCTTATCTACTGCCTGTGATGCTGGGCACGGACTCACACAGAGAGGGATAATCTCAACAGACGTGACTGAGAAGATCTGAGGAATGCAGAGAACTGCCCAGGCCTATACGAATGTTTAGGATCTCGTATAATATAACAGATACAATGCTTTAGGGGGAGTCTATTAAAAAACAAGATGATTTTTCCCTAAGGAAAAGATTCTGGGGTGTGTGTGTGGGGGGGGGTATACATATATATATATGTATATATACATGTTTAAGGAAAATATTCACTTTTGAATCTCTTAGCTACAAAAGTATAACAGAGATATTTGCTGCATACCATGTGATGTGCAGAAGCAGAGGAAGAAACAGTAGGTAAATGCCAGTCCTACAATATAAAAAGAAGTACACGGAAAAATCACACGGGTTCATGCAATTCTTTGTGCGTCTTTCAATGAATAGCAAAAAAAAAGGAAAGACAATGTGATGCTATGAAATGTAAATGCAATTTAAAGAGAAATGTAAATCACATTGGCAGGAATGAGTTTCACAGCCCAGTCCAATGCAACACTGGCCTATGATTTGGATTTCTTAGTGATGCCACACCAAAATGATCATAAACAGTAGATCTTAAACTGTAATTGAAATCAGAATGAAATATTCTGGTTTTGTCTTACTTTAGCTTTAGGTTTTCCATGTGCATGTCACAGTTCTATTATTATTCAGGTGGAAAGCCATATCTTCTAACACTTGCCCCCTGAAAGCTAGACATCTCGGTCCAGAATGGCCATCTAAGACAGTGTCCATCAACAAAGAAGAAAGAAAGTGGCAGCAGAGGGCAATCGAGCCTATCGAACCAGCATCTGGTTTATGTGCCTCCTTGAAGCATCCTCCTTCTTTACTTATAGTGAGGGAATAGGCAATCAAAAGCAGATTCCTATAATTTAAGTGGCTAAGATTAAAAGGAATGAATCCCACACTTGGTCTGACTAACTAAACAAGACTGGCTGAAGCTCATTTAAGACCTTTTTTAACCATTCTTAAAAGCTAATGTTTCAGCTGGTTAACGCAGAAGTTGTGGCTGGTATGGCTCCACTACGTGAGTGAGACTGAGGGGATGGGTAAGGAGCACAGCTGCCTGCCCAGGGAGCAGAGCTGCATGGTGCCCTGCAGCATCGAGAGCAATGGAAGGAGTCAAAGTCTCTGCACAGATCCTGTCACGAGAGCTAGCCTGCGATCCTTAGCTGTGCATCAAGCTAGAGGAAAGTATTTTTTTGCCCATGCTCCAGGGTAGGATCCTACTCTATCACCTCCACAGCACCACAAAATTGACTATATTTAGTAGGTGCAGTGGCTGGCCCTTAAGAGAGGGTCTATTTTAGCTCTCATTAATCTTCTTGGACACAAATTCAAGAAAGTACTATTGGCCTGCGGCAGCTGGGTAGACTAGAGGTCCTTTTCAGCTTATAGCCTAAGGAAAAAATAATAGTAAATACCAATGAAAGAAATAGAACAAATCATGCAGGAAAGGAAAGAAGGGCTTAGTAGAAAGACCTCTTCCTGTTCCCGTTGCACCAAGGGTTTGGAGTATAAGGAACGCTCCCCTTTTAACAGATCACAGTTAAAAATATTAACTAGTTTAAAACCGTTTCCTAAACTCTCCTTGGTGATAACTCCTATTTACAATAATATTGCAGACTTTGCCAAATTCTAGTTAACAAGATTTTGATGCGGTAAATGGATTTTGCACAGGTTCTATATTGTTCCGCCCTCCAAAAAATACATTGTTGCAATAAGGTAAATGCCTTAGAGAAACCTAAGCACACTGTATCAACATAATTATATTTATTAGCCACTCTCGCAATCCAATAAAAAAATCAATTTATTTGACAAAATCTTTTTCCCATAAACTCATGCAGATTTACATAAATTATATTATATTGCTCTATTTTTTTTGAGTGGAGACGTTTGTCATCCATTCTATTTCCCCTTTTCAGATATTGGCAGAATATTAATTGACCTAAAACCTTCTGGAACTCCTCCACTGCCCCATCTCCTATCAAAAGTCACCACTAACTATCCAGACAGCTCTAAGGCTTTCAATAAGGAATCTAAGTTCCTGAAGATTTTGGGTGGAATTGAGCCATCCGAATACAAGAGATATCTCTCTCTCTCCCACTTGCTCTGTCATTTAATGACTATATAACCACAGAAGCACATAAACTTTCCTGGCATTTGTATCTTTGACCCTAAAGCTCTCTAGACACTTAGACCTCTGCTTTTCAGCATGCCCAGACTACCCCAGTCTTGGAAACCCTGTGCCTGTGTCTTTCCTAAGCCTGTTCAGAGTCTGAGAACTAGGATAAAGTAAAAAAAAAAATGCCCATAAGTGCTCAATAAGTGAGCGTGCAGAAAACATTGTCACTTTGTTTCCATTATCGTTCTTCAACATTATTTATATTCTGTTCCTTACTAGCAACTTCCTCTCTCTTCAGTTCATTATACATAAGTATACATATATCCATGTCACAAGTACACTTTTAGATGCAACCATTTCCTCTTTAAAGTGCAGCACTATTGTTTTGTTTTGTTTTGAAATCAGTGTGGCCTTATTTCTGTATTGTGTTAGTTTGGCTTTTTGGACTTGCAGTTAAATATTGCTGAACAGTTAACAGTTTTCATTCTTAGATAGAGATGCTGAGGAAACTTAGTATTAGCAATGTGTAACTTATATGAACCCTGAACTCTCTGTAAGAATGATATTTTCCCATTACACACTCTGCTTTAGCACACAGGTCTTCTACGTGATTGTCTGGTCTACAGCAGAAACAATACACAATACTGGCTGCAACGAATCCATAAGCCTTTTAGAACAATATACTGAGGACAAATTCTAAGTATAATCTAAGGTCTGACCATGCAACGAGTTCTCACACAGATGGAGCCCCGAGTTCCTAATGTAATCACTGGCATGGATACAAAGACTGACCAGTAAAGAGCTCACGTGAAGTCTTATGTCAAAATATTTTTATGTGTGTATATATTTAGTTATTTTACTGGCATGTGTCACTGAGAGAGATCATATACTAGGTGGTGGACTGAAGTTCCATGGAAAAAAAAATATGATATTCGGAAAGTGTGTTTTCTTCCTGAACTGAAAAGTTGTTGTGACACAAGAGTGTTTGACAGGTATATAAATCCTGGGCTGGAGAACTCACAGTCCCAGCCGGCCCTTGGCAAACACCGCAGCTAGGTGGGAGTATGAGCAGAAAGAGGACTGGCAGGGTGTCCCGGGACAGGCTGCTTCTGGGAGGGTACAAACTGCATTGACCTTCTCCTGTGCCATCCTTCCAGTAATGAGCACAGCAAGTTTGTGCCCTGGGCAGCAAGCTGCACTTCCTACCTCTGCCTGTGTCACTTTGTCACTTTGTCACTTGAGACTTCCACTGCTGCCTCCTACAGCAGCCCACATCCCTCTTCTTTCATCCTTGTGCTGCTTTGTGACCTGGTTCATCACGAATATGGAGGCCATAGTATAAAAGAGGTTTCACCAATCCTACTGCTTGTTGAACTAACTATACCAGTGGACAGATTTACATCACATTGACTTTCTTATCCGGACCTCTGCATGAGAGTCCAGGCTAGACAAATTGTGTTGTTGTTGTGTTTGTTGATGTATTTCTAAAACACTTAGTTTTAGAAATAAATGGCTAATGTCCAAAGCCACTGTGACATCTAGTTCTCACTGAAATAAACTCTGAAGTGCAAAGAAATGGCACTACCTCCAAATGAGGTGACTCACTTTATGTTTCAAACCAGAATAAATCATCCCTCTTTTTTGGGAAAGATGTTCATCTGCAAGATTAAAATGTCATAGGATCCAGGACAAAAGGTTAAAGGCCTTTGAATAAAATTTTACTATCTGAATTTGTCATACGTTAGACACCACAGCCAAGAGCAAGAAGGAGAATAATTGGTAACCTTAATGCTACAAAAGAAACTTTTTTATCATCATGCAGATAAAGAAGTCCTCTTGAGAAATTTTTGCATGCAGTGTATTTAAAACAGTTACTGAAACTTTAGGAGAATAATAACATGAAGTGAAGAAAAAGAAAGAAATTTTGGTCTATATAACTTCTACTTGATGTAATTCTGTGCTATGAGATTAACGGTCAAAGACAACAGACACAGTTTACCACTGTTTCTCAAGTATCAGATATGGGCCTTAAAAACCAGATGTTATGATCCTGTGAAGGTGCACTGTGCATATTAGGAGGATGAAAAAGGACCTCTGCTCATGCAACACAAACCCCAAAAGAAGATGTGGTCTGCTATCTAGGAAGCACGCAGTGGGTAGCAGGTGTGCTGCAGCTTCAGCTGAACCATCTATTCCTGTAACTGCTTATGTGATAGAGATGTGGCTGGCACAGCTTCATTTCCCCAAATTAGCAGCAGGGTTTTGGCCTCAGGATTCATGCTGAGGGCAGAACTACCTGAAAATCATTTCATATCATTGTCAAGGTAGCTGGAGAGATATCAAGGTTCCTAGAGCAAATCTTAGTATTACTGCTCAGAATCAAGCAAACTCCAAGTCCTATGGACAGTCTTTTTTTCATGCCACAGCTTTAAAGCTGGCAGCTTGTTGGCAGCTCATAAGAGGGTCTCACAGTACCCACACAAGCTGCCCTCATTCTCTTACTGGCAGATTCATCCCTAGAATTTCTTTCTGAAGCCTGTTTCCTTTCTATACTTTCAAGTTATTCTGAAATCATGACGGTACAAAACACATTAATACAGTAACAGCTGATTCTAACTCCATACACAATTTTAGTTGCAGGTTATAAAAAAGTCTTACTATTTTGTGATTGTCTTGCTTTCTTCCTGGTGGTCGTGACATGTTCCTTGTGTAACGCTTGGAGTACTTGACTGTCAGTTTATATGTCTTCTTCCTCAAGCAGCATGTTCTTCTCTCAGTTACTGTATTTCTTCCTTCCCTTCTCTAAAGTTTTCTCCTTTCTTCTCTTCTGCCTTTGCAGGAGATGTGTTCGCTGCATTCTGTAATGCTACTGATGCTCCTCCTATTCTCTGCGTGCACTAAGCCCTTTGGGAGGAATGTGATTGGCAGCAGATTTGCCTCTGAACACAACAGAAATAACTGCTCCATCCATAGGAATGCATTGTCATCAAATACACAGCAAACAGATATGGGAAGTCAAACCAGGTAGCCCCAAGAGGTTTGCAAGTCTTATGCCTCAAGGGACAACAAATACACTTTATTGGTTGAGTCAGGTTTTGGCTTTTGGAGAGTTAACCAAAGCTACCTCACTGAAGAATAAAAATACAGTTACAAGATATGGACGAACCAGGTAATTAAAAAATATACCAATTTCAATTTTAAAGAGCTGCCAGCTGTGACAGACTTAGGCTGGTGAGTGGAAGCTGCTAGGCAGGAGCAGTACGGGTCACAGGGCACTACTTTCACCATGTTTCTGGGAGCACAAAGCTGGCAGGAAGATCTAGAGTGTCCAGATTCCCAAAGGAATAGATTGTGTTTCTGCTACCACTGCCAGCTTTTGCAAATGGCATCTTCCATTACTGATGTCTCTAATAGATCTTACATCATTGTTAACACGATATAACCCCTGCCTGTAAACATTGCTGCAGGAAAGTTCAGATTGCTTTTCCCAACTTTGTCTAACATAAATTTGGCCTATTCTGTTAGCTTAGATTTACAAATTCAGATCACGGTTACCAGTAAATTTAGAAATGAATCAGGTAGCTGTCATTCCCTTTAGGAGCATCTCCACATACATTCCTCTTTCATCCTCCAAGGAGGGGAAGTAGAAGAATGTGGCCTCATCTGCATGCCATGCTGCTACTAGATGTTAATTCTTTATTAGATTTAGTGCTAGGCTAAAATTGCAGCTATATCTTACTCCATAGCTAGAGAAAACAGTAGATGCCCTTCATCTGGAATAAGGAGGATTAATTTACTTACAAAAAAACAGTCGTTTAAAGTTACGATATAAGACAACAAAAATAGAAGAAATATAAGGATTTTCAGCTCCTGCTGTGCAAAACAGGCATCCTAACAGCTTGCATTTTACACAGAATGACCTGGTGTTGATGACCATACGCTGTAACGTCTGCCATCTTTCTCTAGGCACTCTTCTGGCCCTGTAAAATCTGACCCCATTCCATAAGTGAAACTTTTGTGGGCACATGCCATCTCTAAATTTAAATAAATTATAAAAGTCAGGCATTAAAATTCTCCAGATAATTACTTGCATTTCTAAATCGAGTCTGAGACGGATTTGTTTCTCAGGTTGTCTGCAACTAGCCACAAGCACCAGATATGTCTCTCACTGCAAGAGATATTTCATATTCTGGAAGAAAGTGTACTGCATTATGTTTAAAAAAAAAAACTCTAAAAGATTATCATTAGCATAATTTATCTGCAGTGAAACCATCGCAAAGCACTTAAGACTACCCATAAATGAGTACCATTTTATTTATGCAGTTCTGAATATAAGGATGAATGACTTCAAACGGCATTATTAATACGACAATCATCAAGGAACACTGTGGACCAGAAGGTAAAATATGTGGCAAGAACACACCAGTTTTATGTGCATATGTGTGTGTATATATATATGTGCTTAGGTGTGCATATGTGCATTTGTGCACATATATGTATGCATGTGTGTGTGTGTAAATTCACATCTCTAAATGTGTTAAATTTGATATTATGTATTATGTATGTCTTTGAAAGGTTTGCCTGTGCTAGAGAAAATGAAACACCAACGGTGTGTCCAAATAAACCGGGAATTAAATGGCTTCAGTGAGGGAAACAACTCGACAGTGGATTGGATACACTTCTAAAGGAACAGAAGGAAGTCATCTTCATAATTTTAACTGTTACCTGACTTGCAGCCCCAGGAAAGGGGTAGAGGTTGGCACAGACTTTGCAGTCTTTCTGAACTTTAATGTGGATTTCTCAGAGTAAATCTAGAGGTAGTTTGAATAGTGTACAGTGAAGAAGCTAGCACTGCCCTGCTGCTTCCTTTCTCTCGTGCTTGTCAGAAGAACATTTTAGCCTTGAGCCCCAAGAACTGTTGGTCTGCTTGAGCATTAGACTAGAGCAGTTCTCTCTCTTCCCATAAAACTGAAAATAAACACACACAAAACATGTCTTTAGTTCAAAAGCATGCATAAAATGTGCATCAGCACTATGCCTCTTATAGGAGACTGGCTATTATGGGAATGCTGAAACCTGTAGGGTTAAGGATATGATTGCTTCAGTGTTCCACTTTCTAAGGATTCTCAAAAACATGAATATTCCAGAGCACAGCGCAATATAAAGGCCACTAGTGCATTTAGTGCCAAATACATTAAAAGGTATTTGAGCTAAAATAAGAATATAGCATTTGCCACAAAAGGTGAGTGTCCAGATCAGTAGAATACAGGATTAGGCTGATGTTTCCTCTTTGTCTCCAGCCCTATAGATCTTGAGTTAAATATTTTATATATAGACAATGAAATTATTTTGAACTATAAGAACATAAGTGACAGGAGTTTTAAGCTACTCATGAAGAAAAGGTACCTGAATACGGGTCTCCCACATCCCAAATGACTGCTCTTAGTCATTAGAGCTCAGTGTGGCTGCCTTTTTGGCTGTATTTCAAAAAAAAAAAAAAAGCTATACTGTTGCTCTCAGGAGAGTATTTTTGGATTTATGTGCCTACTTTCTGCTATTCATGGAAAGCATCTAAAACCTTATATAAATCCTTCCTATAAATCACAGATGAATTCTGAAGTAAAAGATGTAAGTTAAAAAATCATTAACAGGTTCCTACTTTACCCTTAACATGAAGCTTATTGACGACTTTCTTATCACTATTAGTCCTGGTTTAGGGGGTAGGAATTGCTCCCTTAGCCGGGCCAAAGAGACCAAGAGAATGACTTGACAGCCTGAAGCCAACCTACAACCAAGTGGGAGGAGGATGTGGGCACTGCTCCCCTGAGCTCCCCCAGGAAGTCTATTATGCAAATAGTTTTGCAGCATGCCCTATGTGCACAGGAAGGCTTAGCATCCTCCAAAATGTAACTGAAAATGCATCTAGAAGAGGCATCAGAGCACATCTGCGTTTTGAAGGCCAGCTCAGTGATGAAAGCACTTCTGCAGGACATGAGAGACCATGAGAGACTCCTCCTCTAAATTTTACACAGAGGAATCTTCAGATGAAAATTAGAGGAACGCTCTCCCCTTTTCCTGCCAATTAGATACCAAAATCTTAATCATTTTCTGATCTAACCAATATCAATTTTGCCTCTGTGTAGGGATTTTCTAAGTGCAGCCAGCAGAGCTAAGGCAGGAGAGCTGGAGAATACAGCTTTTTCCCCATCAGAGTCACACCACGTCACTAGTAAAAAGTCAGGAAAGAGATGAGTGAGAGTTTTCATTAAATTAAGTGGAGAGGGGAATTGAAACCAGTTTCTCCCTTCTGCCATAGCTGCTTAAAAAGCAAACAAGCAAACAAAAACTGCATATCTGTGTATGCAAGGACAGGAAGCAGTAATGTGTCTACTATGTTTTAAAAGAAGATGACAAACCTTGTCCAGTTATTCAGAAAAGTCACTTATTCTCTACGTGTCACTATTTGCACTGGAGGTCAGCTGTAAGCATTTCTTTGACGAGGTGGCTGACCGCTTAGGTTACGGTATTTTGGATTGCATTTAATCCTCTTCCTGGACATCATATAAAGAGGATAGATGTCTACTCAAGACTCTGGATTCTCCTGCAAAGGCAAGTATTTAAATATTTAAATATTGAAAGTATTTAAAAGTTTGATGTACCACCTAAGTTCTTAACCGGCTCCAACCCTGTATTTCATTCCGCAATGGGATGACCCAGCAGGATTATTTACAGAACCGTATGAAGGCAATGCCAAAAAAGTGACAAAGCAGCAGTGGAAAGTTGTTCTATTGATTGCATAAATTGCCTCATTCAACAACCTTAGCCCAGCTATCAATATTTCAGTGTTGTACTTCTCCTCAGTTTCACATCTAATGTGTTTCTCGAGTAAACAAGTGATGTTTGGGAAAGCCTGCCTACCCTATAAACAAAATAAGATGCGGGCACCCAAAGACAGCTCAGCGGCAATCAATTGGAGATTTTAAAGAGAACTGAGGTATAACGGAAGACTCCTATAAAACACATTCCGAAGATAAATCCGTAATAGCCAGATGCATTTGATCTACTTAATTAGAAGGAGGTAAATTTTGTCAAAACGTAATGCCACTACTACATTTAAAAAGTTAGGGAGGATCTTGTGTTACTGAAAGAAAACGAAGCTTCAACACGGCAGCACACAGGCAGCAGTGGGATTTTGTTGTGTGGTCCTACTCTGCCCAAACAAACAAGAAATTGCAACACATTCCAGAAAAGCAGTGGCAAAGTGCTGCTGCATATTTGAGCACGTTTCGACATCACTTCCAGTTTTGCTTAAAGCTGCCCGTTAGTTTTGGGGGTCTCGCTCACAGATTGTGGGTGAGGATGAGACAAGCAGGTGTCCTCCCTAAACAGGGCACTGGAGAAACAGGGCCTTGCCTAGTAAACAGACAGGATAGGTATAACATGTCATACACACGTATAACAGCTATGACAGTGTCACTGCCATCCATGTGGATGCTATGGATGCTAAAATTGCCTTTTGTTCCTGTTAAAAGTTATTATAAGCAATTCTTTTTGCAAGAGAAGAGAAGAGGCTGTACAATCAGACACTATTATGTTATATAACCAAGAAAACACATGCTGTACAGATGGCTGGGAATGTAAAGACAATTTTCCTCTCAGACCTTCTGGCTTTTTTTTTTTTTTTAATGTTCTGGGTGAAAATGTTTATATTGCAGTCAGTTAGACTTCTCATAACTTAGACACTTGTAAGTATTTGCATATTCAGCAACATCTCTAACTGGGGTGTGTGATGTACAGAAGCACTGGATAACATGACCTTAGAGGAGCGTGCCTGGAGAAAATCATTTGGAGTGAAATGTTTTAAATTAACCTCTGATAAAGGCTGGATTTGTCAGAGATGCTGACAGCCCAGCTCATACTTCCCAATAATCAGAAAACAGTTCTGAAAAAGTTTAACTGAAACATTTCCATCTGTCTCTCTGTCCACAGAATGGGACTGATGATACACAGAAAATCTTAAACATTTGTATTACAAGCATGCTATATAAATGCCAGTTACTATTGTTCAAAGCTCACTTGACACTGTAAAAAGTGAAGAGCAAGTTATAAGCTATCCAGATAATCTTTCCTAAAGAAACAGCATAGCGCAACATTCAATGCTGTCAGGAAGCTAAACATGCTAGCTTACAGCCACTTGTAAATCGCCGAGGTCCTAGCCAACGTTCTTTGTCACTTCATGGCCCGTCAGCTAACTGCATCTCGGATTCCAGCATCTGATGCACAAATTGCCTCAGAACAAGAACTGACGTTAAATGTGAATAGAATTAGGATTCCAAACCTTGTGCAGTTTATGGAGTCTTTACCATTTTTATTTTCAGGTTGAGACATTTTAAAATAATCCTAGTGATTTCTTTCTTACAATCAGTCCACTTGGCAAAGCTTTGTTTGGTTGCTTTTTTTATAAAGGACAGCCGAAAGTCTTTTTTTTTTTTTTTTTTTTTGCATTTGCTTTATTCTACAATCTTTCTTCTAGTCCCACAGCATGATTCTGCTAATTATGATTGATTAGAAAACAGCTGGCCAATTAACCCTAATAGAGGAGCCAATAGTTTGACAGTTTGCAAAATTTTGTTTTGTTGTTTTTTTTTATAAAGGACAGCCGAAAGTTTTTTTTTTTTTTTTTTTTTTTTTTGCATTTGCTTTATTCTACAATCTTTCTTCTAGTCCCACAGCATGATTCTGCTAATTATGATTGATTAGAAAACAGCTGGCCAATTAACCCTAATAGAGGAGCCAATAGTTTGACAGCACTGAATGTCCTCCAGAAGGTAGCGAGAATTTATTGTCAGTTTCAGGTAATTAGCAAGGGGCTGGCAAAGCTCATAATTGCCTAAAAGTGAAATGTTCCAGAACCACTGAGATAATTTATTGAATCAATTAAAACAGATGGAGATGATTGGATGTCTGTAAGTAGATTTAAAGCTAGTAAACAATCCTCTAGCTGTTATGGGGTAGGAATTAGCTGAAGGAGAAAGGCTAGTAGGGGTGTTGTTGTTCTTGTTCTTATTTTTATTCTACTGATGTTTGTTTGGTTCAAGTCTGGTCTGTCATTAATTGATACTAGTTACAGATAACTGAAAGCCAGCATTGACTTGAAGCAAAAGCCTCTGGTAAAGAGTAAGGTCTAAAATGGCTTACCTTCCAAAGTGGCTAACTTTTCTAAAAGGCAAAGAGGTCATTATTGCTAATGCTATAATTGCAATACTGACAATTGGTGGGCAGCAACTCTTCTCTTTTTTTACATTCAGCTGTCCCTGCCACGTTGGGCAGAACCTGATCTATGGGCTGGCTTTCTTAGGAGTTCCTGCATTGATTCTTCTAATTGTTGGTTATGCTCTTAATAATCAGACTTGGAGACTAGTTACAGGCAAAAGATCTCCTCTTCAGCAAGAGAGTACGCGTAATCACTTACTACAATGCAAACTGACCTGCTTTGTCTTGTGTAGCATCACTGGGAGAGCACTGGTTGCTCCAGTAACGTGGTTAGCAGTCACCCTGATAAATGGCTCATTTTATGTATGTGCTATGAGTGAGTATGTTTCCATGTATTATTATGGAGGTAGTCCTAACATTACTGCTAGTGAACACGGAAAGATACTGGCTGCGTTTCCTTGCCGTCAGTTAGTTCCTCCAGAGCTGAGTAAGGCAAGAGATGAAGTGATTCTCCTCCTCCGATACCAGTCGCAAGTGAGTAGCTTACGTTATGTCTGTTTGAAGCTGTTGCCTGAGGATCTAATGAGAATCAGGGTTAATTCAATGGACCCAGTATTAGGAAAAAAATGGGATCTGTCTCTTCTGCTGTGAATGCTAAATCTTTGTATGTCTTTGAAGTCTGGTTTGTTCCTGCAAGTGGAACCGAGCTTTTAGGTATGCAAGTTATTAGATGTAGTTGTCCTATTTGTTATCTACTGCTGGAGGAAATGTTCTTTGTTGCATAGTATCTTGAGAAGTACCAGCAAGTAAGCCAAATGGACAGTAAAGAACCTAGTGAGAGGTGGCGAATGAGGTTCCTTGATTCAAGAATAAGAAATGTGATTAAAGGTCCCAGATTTTGAAGGCTCCACATTAACCAAATCAGAATTTTGCTGTTTAGGATGATACTCATTTTTAAACGCTTGTCTAGTGGCTAAGTATTAGGGGGACCGTTAAGCAGCCACTTCAAAGAGAAATGGGTATAAATAGGCTGTAAGATAATTTGGGTTAGAAATTAGATGGCTTCTCTGTTACAGGCTTCTAATAGTAGTTGTGGAGGCAAAATTCTGAACAAGTTATACGGCAGGACTTCCTTAAATTTCAGAGAAAGAAACCTTTTTATACAGCTACCAGTAGCAGGCAGAGACTGGATTTGATGACAATAGACCCTTTCCAGGCTTCTGTCCTGTTAACCTTCTTACTCAGGAAAGACAAGCAGAGGTTTTCATATGGACTTCTTATGCCCAAAAGTTGTCACAGCAGGTATTTTCAGATGCAATAAATGTGCTGTGGTACAAAGGACTACATCAAGGAACACTAATAGCAAAGTCTTGTTTTAATTTTTGCTTCTCTTTTTTGAAGGTGGCTGGCTGGTTTCTGATTGCTGTGGTAGCCATCACTGTTTTCCTGTCTTACTGTCTGGGAAGCTGTTTCTCCCCACTCAGCTTCCTTCATTTCAGATACTGGACCAAGTACGTCCACAATGAGCAGGAGCTCTTTGATGAAGCAATGGACCAGCACTCCAGGCTTTATGCCACGCAGCACGTAAGGAAGTTCTTTGGCTTTGCACCAGGGAGTGAAAATGTGGAGGAAATCCGTATCCCGTCCCTTAGAGAGTGGCAAGCCATTTCTGGACTGGCTTTTTTAAAACTAGTGGATGAGGAGCATTATGACTACAGCCTTCTCCACGACTGGGCACTCAAGGATTCTGTAAATGGAAAATACATGAAGATTGATGAGACCAGAACTTGACTCAGAGCTCTGAGTCCCCACCAACACCTTGCATAAGCAGGAGCGTGTCTCCTGTCACGTTGGCCCTGAGCCGCTCTGGAACTTTTTGATGCGTTATTACACTGATACCTAAAGTGCATGAACAATTACATCTTCTCAGTGAAGTGTTTTAGCATGGTTATAGACCCCTTTCCTGATTGTGTCTGACTCCTGTGGGATGTGATAGTCTTATGTCTAAATTGGGATGGGCTGTGTCAGAAACCAGAAGGCTTTGAGGAAGTCTGATACCTCCTCAAAAAGGATGAGTGGTTGCCCTATTTCTAGGAGATAAGGTTATTCCCTAAATGGTTTCTTCCTTCCTCTCATTAAAAATATTTAAAAATTATTAGCTATATCTTGACTCGCCTCCTAAAGGCAGTGAATGATTAGATGCTGTGAGTCTGATCCATCCTGTACATGCTAAGAACAGACACTCAACTTTCTTAGTGACCCCTAGTGGAAAAGCCTTATTTTTTCCCCCTTCTGCAACTTTGTTGCATTGTGTAAGTAAAATACAGTGAGCTAACCAAAAGCTGCATCTCTGGATACAGAAGTACAGGAGAAACATATAAGGAAGCTTCTGCAACAAAGCCCAGGTCTGGATATTGTGATGAGAGAAATCTCAATTTGGCAGAGATGAAATGCCCACTGAGATGCACAGGACAGAGGGGTGCATAACTTAACAGCTGCATGAAGAAACACTTAACAGGTAGAAGCCTGAATTTAAGTATTTTCTAGTTGAAAGTAATAATAAGGTCAGTTTCCTATTCTCTTATACATATTGCAAAATTTGACAGCTCCCACTTGTCCATATACTGGCTTACTCTACGAACAGCAGATCAGAATGGGAAGTAAATCTTAACTCTGTGCAGTAAATTCTGGCTTGCATGTGAAAAACTTACAATTTATTCATAACCACTGTGCCATAAACATCACTGCAATTAAAAACAATGAATTTGGTGAAAGATGGTTTAATGAAATTTCTTGTGCTAACTCAGTCTATTTATAATGTTACCTTATGGCATCATATTCCCTTATATTAACTCTCTAGTACGTGCTTCTAGCTCTAAGGGGGGAAAAATGAAAAGCTATGTTACACATTTTTCCCTAACACTTCCTGTATTGACTTGCTACATGTACAGCCTACACTGCAAATCCGTAGGGCAGATTATAGTATGATATCTGCAGTTAAAAATGACTCTGGAGTTTTCAGGTGGGGAAAATATTTAGCACATGCTACTACAGAATGCAGGAGCATGTTAAAAATGTAGGTCTTGCTGAGCATATTTGATCTTGCTTTGAAAAAATTTAACCTTATAAACAAAAGCAAGCACTTTTCAAACTCAAAATATACATATGCTGAATGACTGGACTGATACCTGATTCATCATAAAACAAATACTTAAATTCCCATGTATGTATTTCATCTCAATCCTAAACTTTCCACTAAGTAGAGCTGTAACATTCATGTGAATTGCTTAGGAAGCAAATATTTCTAGGCCAGTAAATACAATCTCTAATTTTATTTACAGTCTTTGTGTCATTTTACACATAATGCTCTGTCTTATTTTTAATCTGGGAAATATGCAACTGATTTCTGTATCTGAAAGTTTTGATTAAAAAGCCTATACTATCTTCTTGATACAAATGACAAAAAGCTAGCTCCTCTCTTTATATTGTGTGGGTTTTTTCCCCTTCCTCTTTTTTTTTTTTTTTTTACAGTCCCACTACATAATGATGCAGTTAGGGGAAAACCTTCAAGTTCCTTTTACTTCCTGTCAAACTAACTTCATTTAAAACCTCATGTTTTCCAATTGTTTCCCATAATTACTATTTGTCCTGTATTTTTTTATTTTTACATTTGATTATTTAAAAATTTCTAAACACAAATTATGATTAGAAGTATTAACTTTATCTGTCATTGTGAAGTATATTGAAATAGACTGTCATCCTGTTAGGCTACCTTGTTTATCTAAAATACTACTAAATATAGCTATAGGAGTATAGATGATTTGATGTCTTTTCTTTCACTCCTCTCTGATTCCCAAACTATGTCATGGAGTGGTATGAAGTAAGCCACAGCTTTTAAAAGAACTTGTGAATACAGAAAATCAATGAGGTTGGTACTGAAGGGTCTAACTGTGTTTGCTAAAACCTGAGTCATCTTACCCAAAATCAATTTATAATTTTAGTTCACTCACTGGAAGTGAAAATGACTGTCTCTATTTCTACCATAAAACTGGCTGCTGGAAAATATGGGCTCGTGAAGTGCGCCTGAGGGAAGACTGCTGGCCACAAGCCCAGGAAAGTGATGCATCTTAAAATTACTCCATGTACTAAGTATCTCTTGGGGTGAGCTGCTGCTTGACCTGTTAAGAGAAGTTTTACATCCTCTCCTGTAGGTAACTCCTAAGTACAGGGGCTCCCAAACGCTATCTTTGACTCCTCCTGCTCTGTAGGAGCATAATTTTGCTGTCTGCATAATCTGACTGCTTCCTGAAAAGTCTGCAGGTGCTTTCTAACTCTAGCCTCCTCCGACTGAACTCTCCACCCACATCAGATGAACTTATCTCAGCCTGAAATTCAGTGATCTCCGTGGCATTATCACGTTTTTCCTACATCTACAGTTTCAGTTACCCTTCAGTTTGCCTGGCCCCCCTAGAAATGTCCAGGGGAAGAATGACGAAGACTGAATCCCAGCCCAAATGCTTCTTTTAAAGTAACCCTGAGGTCCACCTCTTTACAGGTAGGGCCAACGGACCCTGAGGGATCTAGCCGTTAGAGACTGAACACTTCATCTATCCAAAGCACAACTACTGCCAAGGAGGGAGGCAGGCGAAAGAAGGCGAGGCACGCACGCCTTCCCTGCGTTTTGCACTGACCCACGCGGCGCCCCGTAGCTGGGGGAAGTCTTTTAAAGTAACCCTGAGGTCCACCTCTTTACAGGTAGGGCCAACGGACCCTGAGGGATCTAGCCGTTAGAGACTGAACACTTCATCTATCCAAAGCACAACTACTGCCAAGGAGGGAGGCAGGCGAAAGAAGGCGAGGCACGCACGCCTTCCCTGCGTTTTGCACTGACCCACGCGGCGCCCCGTAGCTGGGGGAAGGGCCCTCCCCTCACATAGAGAGCGCTTGCGCGGGGGAAAGGGGGCGGGGAGGGGGCCCACTTGGAGGCCAGGGCAGAAATACTGTTCGATTTAGCCATGGAACTAAGCAGGCACAAGAATTTCCAAAAACAAAGTATCAGTTCCTAATATCAGTTGAACCACAAAAGAGGGAAAATAGGCTCAAAAATGCTATCCAAGGCAGGGCTGTGCTACTGACAGAGCCTCCAATGGCACATCAGAAAGGGAGAACTGCTTATCTGAAATAAAGGAAATTCATCTCTGGTACCGAACAGGAACAGCTTCTCCCATTCCACAGGTGTTTCCAACATTGTAAGCATTTTCAATTCCAGTTTGGTACAAAAACCAAGACATCTCCAGCTTTTTTTTTCCTGAACAACTGCCGGGAGAAAGGCTCTGGAATACCTAAAAGTACAGTAAAGATGTTCAATTTGGACAAAGGAGGCCAAGACTCAAGTAATTCTGACAAGAATTACTCTAAACTCATCTATACAAGAAAGCAGATTCAGATTGGATGTAAACGTAACGAGCAAGAGCTATTTGTGATTGACTTTGTGCAGAGACACTGAAAAAACAAGAATTAGCAGTGGTCACAAAATTCATGTACAGGATGAAGCTGATAAAGTTTTAAAGCTGTTGTCCTAAACAAGAGCAGCGGTGTCACAGTCTGCTGCATTGTCTGGTGAATGCCTAGAAAACTAAGCCATAGAATAAGTGACTATCAGGAATTTTGAGAATTTCTGAATTCTAGCATGATCATTTCTGCTGGGTATCTATGGGTATCTATGAATTAAGTTTCCCCCCCCCAAAAAAAAAAAAAAAGTATTTAAGCTGGAATTCAGGAATTGGCGTGCATTTCGATCGGTTTTCTTTTCTTGTAACTGCTTCTCACAAAGCAATGGGATGTTTTAGAGTACTGAAAGATGCAGTTTTCTCTGTAAGTGTATTGTCAGTGTCTACCTTATTCTGGTACAGGCCTATGAGGAACAGAGGCAAGGTTTACTTCCCACTTGTAGAATATTATATTGCTAAAACTTTCATGTGATGGACGTACTTGCTCTTCAGATTCTTCTGCCTAGATACCGTCAAGCTAGTAAGGATATCTGCCATGCTAGCTATTCCGATGTGATTTATGGTGCTCAGCATCCAGGGTGTTTAACAATTAAGAAAATTGTCTTGCATTTTCTGTCTCTGCCTGCACAGTACCTACTCTGCACTAAGTCACACCATCTCTTACTTAGCAGTAACTTTATCGCACAGACTTTACCCACTACATCTGTCCAGTGCTATCACCTAGAGATCTGCCTGGGTTCTTCAGCTTTGTGTTAAAGGTGTATAAATTGATCGCTGATGGCTGAGGATGCTGAGTCACTGATTGAAATATACTTTCATACAAGCTCTATGCCAGTGCTTACTCAGAGTTGTTGTTCGTTTATGCAGTGCTCTTGTGCCCAAAGAGGGAAGGAGGAGAAAAGATTATTATATTATGTTAATCAAATCTTCCCTAATTACTAATACTGTTCATTCATACATACTAGATTCCAAATAAACATTTTGAGCGCAATTTTTAGTTCTTATACAAAGATGTGGTCTGTAGTGCAGAATTGTGCAGTGAGATGCAGTTATCTAGCCTGTGAAACTGTAGATCATAGGGTTTACCCTTTGGGTGGCTCTGCAGAATTATTAATTCTTACCTGTCCTCCTTCTGACTGCCTCATTCATGCAATTTCATTCTAGTGTAGTACTTGGATAGTAAAAAAAAAAAAAAAAAAAAAAAAAAAGCCCTGATTTTTGCTTTGCCGGGTGAACCTGGTGGCTCATGGATTAAATTTTTATATTGACTATTTACAGTCCCTTTTTCTTTTAGGTTGCTTTCAGACCTAAATTGTAGATGCTTGAAAGAAAGCATTTTGTTTTAAGAAGCACTTTCTATTTTAAGCTGTTCTAAATATAGAAATAGAGCAAACATTCTCTAAAAATAGTCTAGGATCAAGAATGTGCTGGATATTCATCAATCTTATCTAGCACAAGCAAGCGAATGATCTTGGAGAGGGGGGCTGCACACGTTTTGTGTCCTAACATTTAATGGTATTTATGGTATTTAATAGTATGTAAATTTGCACTGTATTTGTCCTTTGATGGAGAAACTTTTGTTTATTGTTGATGCTATATGGTGTTATACAAAGAGCACAGAAAATAGTTGTTAATAGAAAAATATTTATTAAATAGGGGGAGGAAGGTCCTTAACATTGTATTAAAAAGCTACCTTGCCTCATTAGTCATAGAGAAATTCAGATTTAATGAAGTGAAGAAGTGGCTCTCTGATTTAAGGAATATCTCTCTCCCTCTCTCTCCTCTTTTTTTTTTCCTTTTTTTTTCTTCTCTTAACAGTATTGTCAGAAAAGCCAACGACTTTCACAATCACTGTGACATCTGAAGCAGGAGAAAATGATGAAAGTAAGTTGATCAAGACTTAAAAATATATAGGTGGGAAGACCATTCTGTTGTAACTTCCAAAATTATAATCACTTTTAAAAAATATATCTCCATATACCTGTGCACTATTTAGTGAAATATACCTACACTTGAAATATCTTACATTTATTATGTTTGATGCTTCTGTAGGAAATCTTGATGCTGTCTTGCAAAGACTGGATAAAGTCCTTTTTTTTTTTTTTTTTGTCTATAGAGGTGTGGATTTTGGGCTCAATGTTTTCCACTTAAGTACAAGGAGTAGTGTTAGAAACCTGCCTACAGTGCTCAAACTGGCTGCAGAACTGTGGGCCTCTGTTTTATCCTTGATCTTTTCAGGGTAACCTATAGTTGTTGCCCTAAGTGGTTGATTTAGTTAGTGTTGTGGACCAGTGTCTGAAAGGTAAAATAACTATTTAGGGCCATTAGACTATGCTTATCAGTGCATCATGATTGATTCACTAGAATAGTTTCTTCCAATGAAGTTTAAAAGCATGGCATACCCCTAGAAAGATGTGTATGGAAAAGGGAATAGGGATATTCTTTCTAAAGTGGTGTTATTCTCTTATAGAAAGGTAGCCGTAAGCTCATAATCAGTAAGGGGGACAGTCTATGTAATATATAAAAATAAAGATTCTGAACTAGTTTAAAATAAGGTGCTGCATGCACAGAAAGCTCCTAAACTTTATTATCAAGTGTCACATATGTTCACCATATCTTTTGCTTACAGACTGGCTGATTGTGATTCACTGTGTCCCTATAATGTTCCTAATGGGGGCAGTCAGCACCTAGTACCCTTCTAGTATAGAAAGGCTATATGGTACCCTGAAATACTTTTGACAATCTGGCATGTCCAAATATGCTTTAGCTCTCAGGACGAAAGACATGTGAGTTCAGAATTTTAATTCTTTGCACAAGTGAGTTCAGCTGGTAGCCAAACTCCATGTGCGTCTTCCAGCTGAAGTTTGTAGTTCACTGTGCACTCAGAGATGTGTGTGGGTGCATATATCCAGAATTACCCCAGTTGGGATAGAGCTGCATAACTATGTACCTAGTTTCTGCATAAGCCTAGTTCAGTAGCCAAGAATTAGCTACATCTCTGCTTAAGCCCTTTGAGGGACATGATCCAGCAGGCATTCACCAGAAATGATAGTTCTGATTATCTGTGTTCATTTTGCAAGAATGTTGAAGTGGGTCCCTTCTTCAGCACAAATACCTAAGCTCTGGTCTGTGGGGTTGTGCTCTCTTTTGCTACTTCTGTTTTCTGATATGCTGAATCTCAAATTCTTTGCAGTGTACCTTCAAAAAGAATTGTAGTCGCCATCCATATAGTAGCTTGCAGCCGTGTCATTAGGTGATTTTCTAGCAGTCTTACGTACAGCAGCTGTATGGAGGAGTTGAATCTGTGTATCGCACTTCTCGGGCAAATACGTAGCTCCTAAGGAACAGTTCCTGAACAAAGAGGTATAGGTTCCAAGTCCCTTTGTAAGCATTTGGTGTCTTTGTACCTGTTTCAAATAATTGTATGGGCTTGTTGTAAGCAAGCCTCACTCCAGGTAAGTTTGAGAGCTGCTGTTCTGAGTTACTGTTAAAAGGAAGAAACTGCTACTGTCTCCTTCAGTTTTAAAGGAGCAGGCCCTGCTCAGAGCTGGTATCTGTTTGGAGTAGACTGCTGGACAGCCAGAGCTGTGAGTCTTGAACTAAAGGAGGTTTTCTCCCTGGTGTTCTAGGCAAGCTACATGAAGGGATGGAATATAATTCTTTTTGATGTTGTTTCCCTGTTCTCCTAGCCACTGGGTGGTTTCATGTCGAGTGTATCGTCCTTCGGCAGTGCTCCTCTCTACTTAATAATATTTACTGGATGCTGTGTACTTGTCATATGCTGTATACGGAGTCCTGGTACTTGACACAGTGGTTCATATTCCAGCTGGGTGTCCAGAGTTTAAAATATTAATATGTGGAGGTTTTCTCTAGATTTCTTTGTTAATAGGAGTCTGCCCCTTTTTTTCCAGCTTTAACTGGGGTGAGGGATGAGAAGAGATTACTGCTCAAAGATCCACCATACCAGATAAAGTTTTCCAGACTTTCTAAAGTCCTTTCAGACACGAATAGTTAGTAATAGTTTATGCAGGGTTGAACTTTACTGTCTTAATTTCTCACTGCTGTTGCATCATGTTTAAATAGGTTCATGTAGTTTTAACCTCTGTAAGATGACTATTCCTAAGATAGGATTTTTTTTTTATTTTAAAATCTTTTGTTTGTTATTAGGCTACTGATGCAACAGAAAATTGTATAATTAACTATGTTTGTTTATCATAAGAATACGACTTTTTTTGTCCTGTAGCTGTCCAGACAACTCTTAAATTCACCTATAGAGAAAAATATCCTGATGAAACTCCACTTTATGAAATAGTCTCCCAGGAGAATCTTGAAGATAATGATGTCATGGACATAATAAAACTACTAGAACAACAGGTAAGGAAAATGAAGTATTTCACTTCTTCCTGATATCACTTCATTGTCCAGGATTTATCCCTCAAGTACATGTCCTACTGATTTGAAATATATTCCCTGCTGTAGGGACTTAGTATGATTTTTGAGCTTGGTAAAAGACATTCAAATTGCAGATCTGCTTTTGGCGTTGTTATCAGAAGTAGTGCATTATTATATCTTCAGGGATTTTTTTGTTAATATCCTGTATGAATACTTCATCATGAAATAATTTCATGGAATTAATTGAATGGTGATTGGGCTGGAACGCACCTCTGGAGGTCATCTGGTCCAACCCCCCTGCTCAGTCAGGGTCAGCTAGAGCAGGTTGCCCAGGACAGTGTCCAGCTAGGCTTTGAATATCTCCAAGGATGGAGCATCCACACCCTCTCTAGGCAACTTGCACCAGTGTTGAACCACCCTCACAGTAAAGAAGTGTTTTCTTGTGTTACTGTGTTTCATTGCCTCTCATCTTGTCACTGAGCACCACTGAGAAGAGTCTGGCCCCGTGCTCTTTATACCCTCCCTCCCTTCAGGTAATTGATCAGATCCCCCCTCAGTCTTCTCTTCTCCAGGCTGAAGAGTCCCTGCTCTCTCAGCTTCTCCTCATAGGAGAGATGCTTCAGTCCCTTAAACCTCTTTGCAGTCCTTCACTGGACTGGTTCCAGTAAATCCATGTCTCTCTCTTTTTTTTTTTTTTTTTTTTAATTATTGGGGAGCCCAGCACTGGACATGGTGCTCCAGATGTGGCCTCACCAGGGCTGAGTAGAGGGGAAGGATCACCTCCCTCAACTTGCTGGCCACACTCTTCCTAATGCAGTACTATTGGCCTTTTTTGTCATAAGGGCACGTTGCTAGCTCGTGCTCAACTTCTTGTCCACGAGGACTCCCAGGTCCTTCTCTGCAAAGCTGCCCTCCAGCTGGTCAGCCCCCCCCAGCCTGTACTGGTGCATGGCATTATTCTTCCCCAGGTGCAGGACTTTGCACTTCCTTTTGCTGAATTTCATGAGGTTCTTCTCTGCCCATCTCTCCAGCCTGTCCAGGTCCCTCTGAATGGCAGCACAGCCCTCTGGTGTGTCAGCCACTCGTCTCAGTTTTGTATCATCAACAAACTTGCTGAGGGTATGTTCAGTCTGATCGTCCAGGTCATCAGTGAAGAGGTTAAACAGTGTTGGCCTCAGTATCAATCACTGGGGCACACCATTAGCAACTTGTCTCCAGCTGGACTTTGTGCAGCTGATGACAACCATTGAAAAGCCTGGCAGTTCAGCCAGTTTTCAGTCTGCCTTGCTGAGAGCATATCTAGCCCATATTTCATCAGCTTGTCTTGAGGATGTTATGGGAGACAGTGTCAAAAGCCTTACTAAAGTCAAGATAAACAACATCCACTGCTTTACTGTCCTCCACCAAGGCAGTCAGCCTTCTGTGATGAGATATCAGGTTGGTTAAGAATAATTTACCCACTGTAAATCTATGATGGCTCCCAGTCACCTTCCTGTCCTTCACGTGTCTGGAAATTACATCTAGGATTAGTTGCTCCATCACTGTCCCGGGGATCAAGGTAAGGCTGACTGGCCTATAGTTTCCCGAGTTCTCCTTCTTGCCCGAGTGACATTTGTGCTCTTCCAATTTTCTTTAGAAGCATGCATTAATGCAATAAGCAAAATAGAGAGCTAAGTCAGGGTGCGTGAATGCAAAAATGAAATGGGAGAGTTCTGGGGCTTCCCATCTTTCGCGTTTCTAGCTTAACGTAAATTCATTCAACTGCATTATGATATTTGTGGAAATAAGCTACTTCAATTTTATTCAGATAGAATTAAAAATGCTACATCAGCCTTCATTTTTTTCCCTAAATAGTTATGTTACTATAGGGCCTTTAAGCCATTGGGACTGGTGACTGTGCACTGTGAAGGAACGAGCAGGAAACACCTGTTTCAATTCAGGAATTCTGTACAAGTCCTCCTTGCCTTAAAATTGACATATTCTGTTCTACAGAGATGTTTCTTCTTTTCAATTTACAATACTTCCTATAACCTTCTTTCTAACAACTGATTTCCACCCCCTCCCCCATGGGAAACTGTCTCACTTCAAAGGAACATGTGTATGGGATTAAGGAGTAAGCCATTCAAGAGAAGAGAGGCTCTGAGTGCCTACTGTCTCCAAGATCTATGGTATTCAGATCTTGGAGTTGTGATCCTACTGTAGACTTTACTTTTTTCATGGAAAAAGCCTTCCTGAAGTCTAGAAAATGTTGATAATCTGAAAGAGATCATTGTTAGTGCTTTGCTGCCCAACCATTTCAGGCTCGTTTTGACTTGGATTTGAGAGTGAGCTTTTGAAACTGGTGCAGAGTGCTTCAATTGTGTTATTTACATTGGCACAGCATCGTGCTTTCCGAACAGATAGATGCATTCAGTTACTGAAGGCTTGAGGTTCTACCTCTGTGTGAAGCTGCCTTTATGTTGCAGGCAGAAGAAAATTTGGGAATGGTAATGATCTTCACTCTAGTCTCAGCAGTACAGGAGAAATTAAATGAAATAGTGGATCAAATGAAAACACGAAGAGAAGAGGAAAAGAAACAGAAAGAAAGAGAAGCAGAAGAAGAAGAAAAAGTATGTAAAATAATATTTTCAACTAAAAAATTCCCACTTTTTTACTGCACAGGTTTGATGCAGAAGCACTTCTCAGTTGCACTGAGAGAGGAACACCTAGCCCAAAGTTGGTATAATTAGAACTTGAGACCTCAAAGATTCTCTAGTGTACTTCAGTGTTTTTTGTTTGTGTTTTTTCTGTTTTGGTGTTTTTTTAACTTTCTAAAGTACTCTTTTCAGAAATATATTGCATGTTCACAGTCACTCCTAGCATTATTTAGAAAGCCTGGCTCAGAGATATTCCCCCAGTGAAAATGGAGTTTCTGTAGCCTATCGCTTGTTTTAAGTGCCAAGAAGGCATGGGGAGCAAAAACGGATAGAATATGCCACGCTGTGCACGGGCTGGGCTGCTCTTGGTCTGTGGAAGCCTCTCTTCCTTGGTTGGCTGACTAGATAGGGTGGAAGCAGGTCTCACTGCTTGCCCCATCCTCTACAGTCTTCAGGACCTGGTATTCTCTCCCTACTAGCCACTGTGGTTTTCCATCCATGGGATGCACTGTGGTAAATATAACTACTGAGTCTTAATTTTTCTTCCTCAAAAGTAGCTAGAGGGTGGTGGGACTTGGAATACTCAGATTTTTTGAAAAAAGCGGAAAAATAAGTGGTAAAAAACCCAACCCAACCAAACCTTTCTTTTCTCTGCTAACAACAGAGAAAAGTTGAAGTACTTTAATAGAAAATATTTCAGTCTAGATTACACATGTGAGCTGCTAAGAAGTGCTGCCTACCTATCGATAACCTGTATTAGTAATATGCTACTGACAATTGCGCTGGAGGTCTAAAGGTAGTAATCAGGGATTTTCTATAATAATTTCCACCTTAGCCTCATGACAAAAAACAGTCAAGCATCTGTGCTTTTTGTATATTCTCTCGTGGTTAGGATTAATTTATGAGAGTAATTCACAGCGAGCAGTGCTTCTGCAGTGTTGTAACTTAATGAAGAGAATGCTTATCTTCACTTGTAGCTTTGCCAGTTGATGTGTGTGTGCAGCCTTGATTTTTATTCTTTTTAGCAACGTTTTCATGGCACTCCTGTTACAATTGAGAATTTCCTAAACTGGAAAGCGAAGTTTGATGCAGAACTCCTAGAAATAAAAAGAAAAAAAATGAAAGAAGAAGAACAAGCGGGCAAAAATAAATTAAGTGGTAAGACTTAAAACTTCTCCTGAAGTCTTTTGCAATGTTATCAGACTATAATGACAAGTCTAAAACTTATTTTCAAATGGTAAGAGTATAGTAGTAAATAAATTTATTAGATTGTTGTCCTCGTGTCTTAGACTGGTCTTGAGTGCAGATGTTAGGCTAAGCACAAAGCAGTTACATTCAAGATTTCTGCTGAAATAATTAAGGTTCCTAAACTGCAGTTAAGTTTTTTTTTTTTTTATGGATTTGTGTCAGACAGCATACCACTTTGAGCTGCTGCTGCTGCTGCCTTTTTCCTGGCAGAAATAGTTGGTAATTGTTAAGCAACAGAAAGAGTCTACATCAGGCTTTGGCCTTTATTGCTTTGGCAGTAGGGCACTGCATCATACAGTGACTTCAAAATATTCTAGTGGCTGTTGAAGTTTGGGATATTGTTGTTGGACTGAAGCAACACAGAGGCTGTCTGGTGTATGTGACAAGCTTATGATAAATCTAGTGAAGACAGTAGCCTCTGCTCTGATCTTTTGGAGAGGAACCATCATTGCGGTGGTTTCAGGAATGCTATGTTCTACAGATTTGAGTCTGTCCAGCAGAAAGCAAACTCTATCCAGTGGGTAAAATGTGGGGAAATGACTTTTCTTTTGAGAACCTGTGTATAAGAATAAATCTTGGACAGTATCCCCAAGACTCTCCAGAGCTTAGCTTTGACCTATGGCTCTTGGGACCTTGGATCCATTTTTTAGCCTGATTACCGGAGAAAACCAAACTTCCATGATCATGTTTTATCATTGTTATCTTATCTCCTCCCTTCTCCCAACAGTTTTTTGAAATCTGTGGCCGGTTTTGTGGCCGGATCAAATTTGACAGAGAGATGGAAGTCTTAAAGATAGTAAGTTGCCACTAGTTTCATAAAAAGCTGTACAGTGCAGAAGAGACATTTAATGCTTCTCTGAAGGAAATGCATTCAGGCATCTACAAAGATGAGCCGATGGAAATCGGGCTTTCTCGAGTTTTTATGCTCTTAAAACTATTGTTAGAGTGCTGTGTCTATTTTTCTTTATAAGAGTCTAGTTTATAGAATCTCTCCTTTGGAAACCTAAAAATAGGCTTAATCTCAAGTGTTATGTGTGCACCCCAGTAAAATAAGAAACTTCATGTAAGTTTTACTATGAATACCAACCAGTTTTGTTGGCAGGAGCTTGCATAAGCAATGCAGATGCATACTGTTACTTTTCTGGAGGATAGATAGTTTATTTGGAAAACGTTGTGAGCGTTTCCTCCCCAGCCTCCCAATTAAAAAGGCTTTATTTTATATTTTGTGATGTTTTCTCACACAGATGTAGGATCCTGTGACTTGTGTGTACATATGGTTTGTTTTTTGAATGAGAAGGATGTAGGGGAAATGATGGAGGAGGGAACTAGCTTCCCTTTCAGTTCCCATAGAGCATTTCTTGTGGAATAAAGGATGAGTATTAGGCCTGAGCAGGTGCTGTGGGGCAGTGTAGTGTAAACTTTCCCACCCTGCTATTAAAACCTTAATAATGTTAAAGTGACTCTCCACAAGAAACAGTGATTCATTTCACTTATAAGAGAAGGAAGCTTATTGGCATGGAAAAATGCTGGGCAAACAGTCTAAAATGAGAATGAGGAACTTAATTAGAGAAATGAGCAGGTTTTTTTTTGTTTTTTTTTAAAGAGACTACTTTGGCTGATTTGAAAAAACTAAAATACATGTATTAACTGTTGTTGCCTTATGTTGGCATATTAGTTATTTCAAAATCTTGCTTGCTAATATGTTTTTCATTTTGTGATCTCTAGGAAAACAGCTATTTGAAATGGATCACAATCTTGACACATCTGACATCCAGTTCTTGGAGGAAGGTAAATTTATGTTTGTTTCCACTGTTGAAAGACAGTGGTTTAAAATAGGTCAAAATTCCCAAGCAAAATCTGTATTACAATTCTGATTTATAATCTTACCTCAGTATCAATTTTAAGTTGGAAGTTTCTGGGGAGTAGTACTGTATTGGAAGTTAACAAAAATGGTTAAAATTTCCTCTAAAAATGTGTTTTAAAGATCCGAAAGCATATCTATTTTCAGTTTTGAGTTGATAGTATTATTATATATTAATATATATGTTATTTGATATTATTTCTCTTACTTCTATTCAAGTGTTTGCATTGGAAATTTTTTAAAAAATATGTGTTTTTTTCTAATAGCCATCCTTTTTGCCCCCCATTTCAATCATATATTTTACATAGATTTTAAAATTTTTCTTTTTTTTTTTTTTTTTCCTGAGCTTCAACACCAGTAATAAACATCTTACAGGTCAAATTATGATGTTGTTTACACCTGTGCAACTCAGCTTTTCTTTGTGGTTTTGTGCAGGTTTGTCTGACTGTTATCGTAGTGAGAAAATTGCCCTGGTTCCAGTTAAAAATGTTGCAAGCCTGTTCCAAAAGCTGTTAAACTTGGAAAATTTGTTAGAGAAGAATAAAAATAAATCTATACATAATCACATACCTAATTCATTTTCTGTACTGCTTTAATATCCTAATTTAAAAGATTGATTTTGTGTTGAGGCAATTTATCTGCTGCGGCTGCTGCTGCAAAATACACGTGCAGAGAAGGGCTCAGAATTATCTCTGAGTGTAACAATTAAAACATACAAAACATAATTTAAATTTGCCGTTCTCCAGAATATTCAAAGTGAAGGTGGCCTGCTCACAGAATCTTTAGTTTTTTTCAAGGGAGGAACAGACCTCTGTATTTCAGTTTTGTGCATGCATTTTTCGTGTAATGACTTGGGTTTAATGAGTTAGCTTTAATCCTGTTGCTGTCTAATGAAACTCTTGTTTTTTTGTTGGTTTGCATTCTAGCATAAATGTAACAGATTAGTAGCTGTGATTTAGTGTTACCATTTTGTGTAATAAGTAATACTAATCTTCACAGTTGAAATGGCATAATGGCTTTATGTTTTAGATGGAAATGATTTTAAGGGCTCTTTGAAAAACAGTGCAAAAACACTTATTTCAGTGGCCAGATGACGAAGCTATTGTCACGTACAATTGTAATAACAACAGACCTGAAGTTTTGCCCTTGCTTTATGGTCATTTCTTTCCAAAGAAAATGTGAAAGCATGCAAAGCTTCAGCTTACTTCTAAAACTTTCAGCCTCAATAGAAGTCTGAAAACACTTTGAAATATTACTGCCTATCTTCAATAGTTGTCTGCCCTTCAAATTTGCTTACGAAGAAAATATTTTTTAAAGCATAATTCTATCTGTTTTGGTGTTCCTTAGCATGCACTTGTATACATTTATGTATATAACTCTTTGTATCCAGAGCTTTTTTGGGAAAATTGCTTTAAGAATACATTTACTAATTATGTGTACAAAAATAAATTAATATTATAGGGAGGAGTGTATGGAAAACTATTTCCTAAGAACTGAACAATGCAAGCTGAATTTGATGTATGCAAGAGGTTAAAAAGTGAAATTAGAGGTTAAGCGGAGAAACTTAGAATGCTCTTAGACTGAGCGTGCAGCAGGGGAGAAGGCTTGAAAGACAAAGAAAAGCATAGCATATGCCTAATGCCGTTCTCTTCTGAGCTAGCCAGATGTTCTTGAGTATTGTTGCTCCAGCAGTTAGAGCCTTGAATGCTTAATCATGTTGATGATGAATGCTTTCCTTACCATCTAATGCTTACAATATAAATATTTATGTTAATGTTAGATTACATAATGTTATTTGAAATTTGAACAAACATTAAGCTGTTAACTTTAGAAAGCTGGAGAGAGAGACATATGCACACACCTATATGTATAAATGGTGTGTAAGGTTTTTAATAAACCATACAAGTGTTTCTGTGATTGGCAGTTGTAACTATTCTGGCTTTGAGGCCTTGAGCTCTCACTTTGGAAATAGGTAGGAGAAAGGATTTCTGTTTCTGGGAACTCCAAATGTTAACTTCATTTTTCCAGTGGACTCTGAGGTCCTATGTCATGTTTCTCTTTACTGGGTTTTTGGTATGAGGAAGAAGCTTGACTTCAGCTGTAAAGAGATGTTTGTTCTTCTTCCATGCCTGTTGGGTATATAAAAAGCCAAATAAGTTAACAGATTTCTGCATTGAAGAATGAATATAAAACAGTGTTGTGTTGTTCAGATTCTTTGTTCTCCTTCTTGTATGGAAAATAAATTATTTTCTTTTCCTTGCAGCTGGAAATAGTGTGGAGGTTGATGAATCTTTATTCCAAGAAATGGATGATTTAGAGTTGGAAGATGAAGAGGATGACCCTGACTACAACCCTGTTAATTTAGATAGTGATTAGACTTTTTTTGAACTAGATATGTTATCAGTATGGACATACATGAGGAAGAGAGGCAGGCAGGAAAGCCACAGCATCTGGGGTTGTACCTAGAGTGCGTTGGTTTGTTTTCTTATTTTTTTCTTTTTTGCAAAGAAAAACCAAAATATTTTAAATCCAGGAGAATGGTCTTCTGATGATTTTCATCATAAATAAATTGACTTTAATATTTCAAATGAAAAAGTTGAGACATGTTGATCTGTCTGAAAGTATGCACTTCTATTTCCTCTTTTATTTTTTTCCTTCATACTTCACAAACTATCCCTTGAAGAGACATGACAGCAAGCAAGATGAAAAGATGTTAGAGCAAGCACTAAACACACCTGTGTATGAAGACTAAACAGCTGTTCTGCATCTTTCACCTAGGATATATATGAGCAGCTTTGGTAAATAAAAGGGATCACAAAATATGCAGTTTTTTTTTTTTTCCCCCCCTGTGCAATTCTGTAACACTTCAAGAAATGTTCAGTTCTGGGAGGCCCCAACCTGTCAGATTCATGAACAGCTATAAGTAGGCAGCACTAGTCACCTTTTAATAAGGCAGAGCCTTCTTAAATTAAATGGAAACCATTTGCCTATTACTAGAGTAAAATCTCTGCCATGTTAGGGATAATAGTTTCAAAATTACTAGTTCAATTTTATAGGGGGAAAAAAAAATCTGAATGAGATGAAGTCCTCTTAAAAAGATTGGTTGATTTGTGTAGAAAGGGTTTTTTGTTTGTTTTCTCCTTTTGAACTTGTGCATCAATTAGTTGAAAAAAAGCAAAAACCCTAAAAAAGTTAATTTGCTTTTGGTTTTAATAAGACTTTGTCTGAGAACAGACTATGTGAACACACTATCAGTGCAAGTGCATGATTCATATTATTAGCCAGTGAAAGTGAAAATTCAGAATAAAGTATCAGGATTTATAGAGTGCGTGTAGGCTTGAGTGTAATGGGAGTTGTTTTAAAAGCATGCTGTTGGCAGCCTGTGAAAGTCTTAGTGTGGCATACAGTAACGGTGCAAATCAATTTGGGATTGTTAACCATGCCAGAGTTGCTTGTGGAGCTAAGTTTGATATTGGACTCCTCCCACTCTTGCCACCTCCAAAAAAAAAAACAGCCTTGCAAGAACTGCATTGGGGATTACACAGGCTGTGTTTGTGACCACAGTGATACATCAGCTAGAAGGATGATAATATGGATGAAGGTTTCAAAAGACAGCTCTCCAAACAGAGAACCAGCAGACACATCAGTAAAACTGTGTGCTGAATTTTAAAATGCTTTAGTATGATTGACTTAACTGCTTAGGATTCAAGATGAGGATTTTCATCCCAGAAATAATTTAATGATGTGTAAGATTTTTCTGCTGATAGGGCTCTGGAAATTGTCAACCTAGAATGATCACAGCTGATATGTTTCAGTAACCTTTTCTTTTGTATTGAAGAAGAATAAACGTAAGTTTCTAGCAGACAGAAGAAGTAAGTGTTAAAGTAGCCTGTAAGTAGTTTTATAAATTAATCATGTCCCTTTGTCCCTACCCTCATCTATTTGATCTTTTTAATTTTGGCTACTAAGAACCATAGACAAGAATTGAGGTTTTAATGATAATGCTGTACATTTACAGAGCAATGAGCAGGATCTCTGTGCCAGCAGAGCTACCTACATATGTTCAAAAGCTTGTGAGCTAATGTGATATGAAATCTGACTTTTTCTAAAGATATGGTTTGATTGAAAGTTTTAGGGTGCCTATCTCCAGCTTCCTCTGTAATTGCTAGTACGCTTTAAAATGCTATACGGCACAGAATTGTAATTTTCATCTGCTAAGTCTTAATTCAGTTGCACAAAAATACTTTTAACTTCTAAGGTTGTTTAGCATCGTCAGCCGTGTATGTTTGAATCTGGCATTTTTTTTGTAAAAGCAGTGAATTAGTTCTCGTTATGTATTGAATCCAGGAATATTGCAAAAAATGTGATAATCTGCAAAAAATGTGATAATCTGAGGAAAATTTGAAAGTGGGCCACTTATAAGAAAGTCATCTGAATAGAAAAAAATGATTTCGTATTTCTAGATTAGTGGGGTTTTCTATTCTATTGTCAGATTAATACATTTATTGATTTTTTTTTTTTTTTCATGTAGAGGGTGAGCTTCTGAATGGCCCTATGAATTTTAGGCTTGTTTGATTTCATTAGTGATTGCCAGCTGTGAAATAAAGGGGCACTTGACTGAGAGTGGGCTTGGCTCCAATTGCATGTTTTGGCTTACTGAAAAGGACTGAGAGAAGAGCAGTTCATTTTTTTGGTGGAAAAAATTTAGGTGCAATATTTAAAATTTACTTAGGCACTTTGGATTAGACTTAAGAAATAACTTTGACAGAATTTCAGTAGTTCAGATTCATGGTGCTGACGACCTTGTTTGTGTCCTTCTTTTAACCTTGTGAACTGGAAGCTTAAAATGTAATGTGTTTAGGGAGATTATTATGAGTGGTATCACTACCCTATGACCAAAACTGCGTTAGTCTTGATCATGCTGAGCATTTTGAATAGTTGGT